CCGAGGAGGTGCACGGCTGCGACAAGGACACGGGCAAGAACCGCAGCGTGGTGCTGAAACGCGCCGATCGCTGGTCGTACCGGCTGCAGGCGCTGCACAGTTCCCTGCAGCCGCCTCTGGACAACCCGTGCGTCGCGGCGCGCTGCGCCCACCTCTGCCTGCTCTCGTCGACGACCGCCGCCGGCTACCGCTGCTTCTGCGCCGAGGACATGGAGCTGGCAGCCGACGGCTTCAGCTGCCTGCAGGGGAACGCCAGCCGGGTGGTAGTGGCCGGCTCGGAGCACCTGCTGGACGTGTCTGTGAACGTGCTGGGCGGACCGGGCGCCGCCCAGCTGACCGCGTTCCCCGCGCGCATGGTGACCGCCGTGGCGCTCGACTACCTGCCGTCGGAGCGCGGCGCGCTCAATCTCACGCTGCTCTACGCCGACGCGGCCGCCGACAAGATCTTCAGCTGCGACCTGGACGAGCGGCGGCGGCGCGTGCTGATCGGCGGCCACGTGACGACCGTGGTCGGGCTGGCAGTCGACCCGGTGCGCGGCAACGTCTACTGGGCCGACTCCGCGCGCGGCGTAGTGGAACTGGTGCGCGCCGACGGCCGCCACCGCCGCCTGGTGGCCGATGGGCTGCGTCATCTGACGGCGCTGGCCGTGTCGGCGGCGGCGCGACGGCTCTTCCTGGCGCTGGGCGGCCGCGCCGGCACCATCCAGCAGCTGGAGCTGGACGGCAGCCGACGCCGGCCGCTCGTCTCGGACGGGCTGCTGACTGTTGGCTCGCTGAGCGCCGACGACGCGTCCGGCCGGCTGTTCTGGGCGGACGCGCAGCAGGGAGTCATCGAGAGCGTACGCTACGACGGCGGCGAGCGGCAGCCGCTGCGCAGCTACCTGGCCAGCCCGCTGAGCGTGGCGGTGAGCGGCGAGCTCGTCTACTGGACCGACATGCACTCGTGGGAGCTGCACTGGACGGACAAGCGAGCGCCGAGGAATCGATTCAAGCAGCTGCTGCAGCCGGGCTCCGACGGACCGGGTCGGGCGCTGCTGCGGGTGGCCGTGGCCGGGCCCGCGCGGCGGCGCCGGCTGCGCGCGCTGCTGGCGGCCAGCGCGTGCGGCCGGCTCGGCTGCGCGGCGCTCTGTCTGGCAGGCGCCGAGGGCGAGACGTGCGCCTGCGGCACGGGTCAGCAGCCGGCCGCCGACGGTACCGCCTGCCGCCTGGCAGCCTGCGACGCCAGCGAGTTCGCCTGCCGCTCCGGCACCTGCCTCCAGCGCGCCTGGCTCTGTGACGGCTCGCCCGACTGCCCGGCCGGCGACGACGAGCTGGACTGTCCCGAGCGGCGCGCCGTCACCTGCGGGCCGGGGCACTTCAACTGCTCCTCGGGCGAGTGCGTCTCGGCCGTCCTGCGCTGCGACGGTGCGTCTCACTGCGGCGACGCCAGCGACGAGCGCGACTGCGCGCGCCACACGTGCGCCGACGGCCAGTTCCGGTGCGGCACCGGCTTCTGCGTGTCGGCGCACTATCGCTGCGATCAGCACAGCGACTGCATGGACGGCAGCGACGAGGCGCACTGCCGCGCCGCCGACTGCCCCAACGGCACATTCACGTGCGCCAGCAGCGGCCGCTGCGTGCCCGCGCACTGGTTCTGCGACGGCCAGGCCGACTGCGGCGACATGTCTGACGAGCCGGCCGACTGTCAGCGGCGGCGGCTCTGCCAGCCGGCCGACCGCCACTGCGGCGACGGCACCTGCCTGGGCGCCAGCCTCTGGTGCGACGGCGTGGCCGACTGCCCGGACGGCGACGACGAGGGCGAGCACTGCGGCGCCAGCGGCGCGCTGCCGGTGCTCGCGCCACGCGCTGGCGTCTCGTGCGGCGACGGGCAGCGCGCCTGCGACGACGGGCGCTGCTTGTCGGCCGCCGCCTTCTGCGACGGCGCCGAGGACTGCGCCGGCGGCGAGGACGAGGCGGACTGCGGCGGCGTGTTCTGCCGCGGCACCCGACACCGCATCGACCCGCGCTGGCTGTGTGACGGCGAGGCCGACTGTAGCGACGGCTGGGACGAGGCGCATGCGCAGTGCGCCGGCCGGCCGTCACCGAGCTTCGAGACGCCGCAGGCCGGCCGCTGCCGCGACGACCAGTACGCATGCGCCGACGGCTTCCGCTGCGTCGACGTCGGCGAGGTGTGCGACGGCGTGGCGCACTGCGCCGACCGCAGCGACGAGGGCGGCCTCTGCGACGAGGCCTGCACCACGGGCATCTGCGCCGACCGCTGCCGGCCCACGCCCACGGCGCCCGTCTGCGGCTGCGCCGACGGCTTTGAACTGCGTGACGACGGCAAGACGTGCCGCGACGTGGACGAGTGCGCGCGTGGCGCGCCCTGTGCGCAGCTCTGCAACAACACAGAGGGCGGGTTCCGGTGCGACTGTCGGCCGGGCTATTGGCTGGAGGCGGACGGCGCCCGCTGCCGCTCCACCGTCTCGCCCACGCTGCTTATGACGCGCGCCGACTCCGTCATCGCCGACCACGTGCGCAGCCGCTCGGTCAACCTCGTCTACCGCACCACCAACGCCACGCTCGCCTTCACCGACTACGACGCCTGGACGCAGACGCTCTACTTCTATGACAGCTACCAGGGCGGCGTGTTCGCAGCGGCGCGCGGCGGCGTGCTGGCTGACGGGACGGGCGCGGCGCGCGCCGACGGCGAGGCGGCGCCCCGCCTGCTCGTCACCAACGTCACCGGCCTGACGGCGCTGGCGCTCGAGTGGACGACCAAGAACGTGTACCTGGCCAGCCGACAGGGAGACGCGGGGGTGCTGCGCGCTTGCACCGCCAGCGGCGAATGCCGCACGCTGGCGCGCACGCCCGGCGAGGTGCTGCGCGCGCTCCGTCCAGTGCCGGAGCGCGGCCAGCTACTGGCATGCGCTGACGTGCTGGCGGCGCCGGGCGGCCGGCGCCGCGGCCGCGTGCTGCTGCTGAGCGCTGACGGCGCCGACCGACGCGTGCTGGCCGAGCACAAGGTGGGCCGCTGCGGCGGGCTTGACTTGGACCGCGCCTCCGGCCGCGTCTGGTGGTTCGACAGCCACTACCACCGGCTGGGCGCGACGCCGCTGGCCGGCGGCGGCGCGCAACGCCAGCTGGACGTGCCCGGCATGCACCAGCCGCGCGGCCTGGCCGTGTTCGAGGACTGGGCGTACGTGGTGAGCCACCGCTAGCGCCGTGCGCCGCTGCCACACGCGCCTGCGCCGCGACGAGCGCGGCGCCATCGTGCCGCTCGTCAACGGCTCGGCCGACTATTGCGAGACGGTGCACGACACAAAGATGGAGCAGCGCGCCGTGGACGTGGTGCACCGGCTGCGTCAGCCGCTGCTGCTCGGCTTGGAGAATGGCGCAGAGAGCGCATGCCGCGCGCACGCCCGCTGCCGGTACATGTGCCTGCCGCACGCCGGTCAGGTGGCCTGCTACTGCCCGGACAACCAGCCCGACTGCCAGGCTGAGCTCGGCACAGCGACGCCCGCCGCCGGGGAGGCGGCCGCGCCCGGCACCGGCGGCGGCAGCGGCAGCGGCAGCGGCAGCGCTGGCGCCCGTGGGGCCACCATCGGCACCGTGCTCTGTCTGACGGCGCTGCTGCTGGCGGCGGCGGCGCTCTGGCTGCGCCGGCGCCAGCGGCGCCGCGCGTCCCGGCCCGCCGCGCACAACCAGTTCCAGAACCCGACGTACGACATGACGCCGCCGCACGAGGCGCCCGACCTCGGCGCGCCAGCCACCTGGCTGCGCGACGCCGACGGCGACAACAACAATGCCGACAGTGGCGGCGGCGGCGGCAAGCGGGCGGCCGGCACGGACCCGGCCTCGTTCGGCTCCATCTACGACGACGGTCTGAAGGTCGGTCGCGTGACGTTGCAGGCTTTGACGGCACTTTTCCTGGTTGGCTGTGTTTTGCGAGTTTCGTGCTAAGCGTTGTACTTTCGTGAAAATGGATTGTGAAGCCATGACTGGTAACTGCAGTGTTTTCAGGTGGGCGCATTGAGTTGATCGCAGATAATATTTAAGCGTAGATTCTGATGTATTTTCAGGGCTTGTTTGCATTGGCTTAATTGCGCTACGAAACGGATCCTAAATGTGATCTTTGGAGGCAGAACAGGCGATGCGATGCGTGCGAATGTGAACGAGTTGCTTGCAGTTGACAACATGGCACGGCTTCTCGCACCCGGCGCCTATGACGTCACGTAGACCCGAACCGCAGCGTGTCCTCCGGCTCGGCATGACCCCGTCCCTCTGCTGGCAGATGAAGGGCGGCCACATCGAGCTGGGCCTGGGCGCGCGCAGCCAGGACTCCGGCTTTCTCGAGCTCGGCTCCGTCGGCTTCTCCTCCATGGAGCGGCTAGTGCAGTGAGTCTCACCGAGGCACGACTCCAGGCTCGGTCGCGAGGTTTCGCAGCTAGCGGGCGGTGCCGACCGCCGCCGCCGCCGCCGCCGCCACCGCCGCCGGGGCTCGCCGAGTCTACCCCTCTCTCTCGTTGGCGTGATTTGACCTGGCGAGCGGTCGTGAGTCGAGCTCTGCCATCTTCTGGGAACGGACAGCGCAGCGATGCTCTTCACGTGGTGTGCTGGACGCGGCGACGGAGGAAAGGCGGCGGCGAGAGCTGGCAACCGAAGGCAGGCGGGGGACCGGTTCTGGAGCTCGGCAGACAGCTTGGCGGACGGCAGCGGCGGCGGCAGCGGGGACGGCAGGACAACTGCGGTGCAAGCGTCGCTGGTGACCTGGGGCGATACGCTCAGGAGTCCGACCCTGCGCTGAGCTTTGTCTGGGAGATGGAAGTTTTGTGGGAGTGGGAGTTGTGTACCGCCAGTAGGGTGGGTGAGGTGAGCCGACGGCACAGGGAGGGCCGGTCGTTCATTCGATGCCCGTAAGTGGATGGTATTGTTTTGCCTGGGTGCTGTTTGCGCTCTGTTGGTTAATCCTTAAAGGAGACAGTGACAAACGTGCATTCTTTGAGCAAAAAGAAAACGGCTCAACGTGCTGTGAGTGGTTTAATGAACTGTTTAGTTTGATCAAAGGTCAAAGTTTCATTATTCCATTGAGAGTATGATTACGCTATGTGCGAACGTTCTCCCTGCGAGCGAAGGTGTCGCAAAATGCGTGAAGATTTTGTTGACGGACGTTTGTTGAACTGACCTCGTCGCAACGTCCGAGTGGGCCGTAATATAACATGACTCCGAGCGGTTGTATCGGACCTAGCGGCGGCTTTCGCTAAAAAGGCCCGATGGCATCAGTTTGGGGCAGAGCCGTGTCTGGAGCGAGGGGCATTGGTTAAGCGAATATGATGGAAATCGACAGGGAGCTGAGGGTCGTTGAAATGAAATGACACTTCAGTGCTGAGAATATCAGAAATGTTGCGATAATTATGTATTAAACTACCGCGCGTGGGTTTCTACAAAATCGCAAAGCGAGCGTGAGTGGCATGAACGCAAAGCTCTGTATGACTAAGAATTACACGTGGTGCTGTCTACTCACGGGCGGGCACGACACACGGAAAATATCAACATTGCAAGTGTCCAGCGCGCCCCTGCATGCACACACGCACACATTCGAGTTATCACGTATGGCAGGCCCGCACACACCAGCGGGCAGGGGCGACGAACGCGACACGGTCGCGTCGCCGCCGGGCGGGCCCGCCTCCGCGCGCGCTCAGCAGCCGCCAGCTCGGCCACTGTGTCCCGCTGCCGGAGCACGCCGGCAGCTCTCACAGCTGGCAGCACTTGCGGATGTGGACGGCCTCGTCCGGCTCCGGGCCCGAGGGCGGCCGCGGCGGTACGCTGACCGGCCGCGAGCCAGAGGTCAGCAGCATGCAGTCCGTGTGCAGGTCCGTGATGGGCCGTCGACTCACCCGCCGGTAGATCTCTGCCGGGAGCGGAGAGCGGCCCGGTCAGGGCGGCGGGGGGGGGGGGGGAGCGACCCGGTTAGAGCGGCGGCGGCGTCGCGGAGAGCGGCCTGGTCAGGGCGGCGGGGGGGGGGGGAAGAGCGGGCCTGGTCAGGGTGGCGGGGGGGGGGGGGAGCGGCTCGGTCAGGGCGGCGGGGGCGGGGGGGGGGGGGGGAGGGAGAGCGGCCTGGTCACAGTTTCCGGGGGGGGGGGGGAAGCCCGGTCAGGGCGGTGTCGCTGGCGGCGGCTTAGGCGCGCCCTGCTGATGGAGACACAGCGAGTCGATGCTGGTGCGAATCGGATCAGCGACCGACCCGTCCGCCGTGTGGTCTCATTGGGAGGGCCCTGACCCGTGACCCGTGGGCCCGAGGAAGTGCAGTGCCGGGGAAGACCACCGTTTCGCTGCAGCGTGGCACGGAAGTGATTTTGCGATCCTATCGTCCATCCAAGGATGCCCATACTGCTTCAGCTCAGAGAAAAGACACAGTACTCGAGTGACACAGCGGTTGGCAAGCCCTTAGCTTTAGACGGACTTCAGTATTACGACGAGCACTCCTCTATTTTCCCCGATCACAATTACAGCCCGTCATGTTTTGGTGTTCTGGGCCTAGATGTGGAAAGCTGCCGCGACCGAGACGGCATGCAAATGCTAGATAAGGCTAAGTTGCAGGTTTGGGTCAATTCTTGCTTTTCAAGAAAATGTTAGATAAGGCTAAGTTGCAAATTTGGCTCAAGTTCTGCATTTCAACTTCCAGCATTTTTTTTATTTCGCAGAAGGCTCGTTTGATAGCTTGGTCACTACCGCACCTACCATACCGCATTCCACGAACATCGCAGCTGGGACCGCCAGTGAAACGATGGCTATGGACGAGGACGAACCTGTGATGATGTTCTCGAAGGCGGCGTCCACATTGGTGGAGTCGAGCGCGGAGGTTTCGACGAAGCTGAGTCCGTGCCGCTCGGCCAGGGCGCGCCCCTCCTCACAGCTCACGGTCCTCAGGTGGCGCAGGTCGGCCTTGTTACCTGACACGACATTGAGGGATACCGTCAAGTCAATTTAGTCAGGAATCATTCCAACCAGTGGCGTAGCATTTGATGCCAGGCACATAACAGGGTAGTTTTCCGTGTAACATTTTATAAAGTAAAATACAGCATTACACGGAAAACCAAACACTGGTGACCGCATAGTGAAAAACGACCTGATAAAAACAAAACAAAAACCCGCACCGCACGGTACAGTGTTATTCAGCGCGATGAGCTTTGCTGGTGAATTCTTTCATTGTCCGCGAGCTGGTGACAGCCGGCGACAAGCAGTTTCAGCACGAGACTGTGCGGAACGAAAACACGCGGCGCGAGGCTGGTACCCCAGCACGCCCGCCAGCGCCGCCCGGGTGGTGCGCTGTGTCGCAACAGGACCTGCGATGAACAAGCGGGCTGCCGCAGAAGCACGCGGACTCTCGGCGTCCTATGCCGCTGGTGCTGTCGCGGTGGGTTGCAAGGTCGCGCGCACTGCGCCAACCTAGGGTCAGGCGGAGCATGGAGCCAACTCCCCGTTCCAGTTCGTGGGCGGCGCAGGTCAGCTCCGTGACCTGTCCGGATGGAGGTGGAGAGGGTCTGGCGGGGAATGGACAAGGCGCTGCTTCGTCCTCGATGACGTGGCTTCGTCCTGCTTTACTCTCAGCGGTAGGCCATGATGACGTATTTCAAAGCCATTGTCAACACCGGCCCAGATATAAGTGGGCAAGGTCGTGCGGCTTTTTGAGCGGCAATGATTCATTCCGGGTTGTGATGACTGACGAACATTATGACGTTTCACATGACTGTAAGGAGTAGGACGGGAATTTGTCGAATTTTAAGGGGAATTTTTCTCACGTTTTGGTCGACTGTTCCACGTCATCGCATTGTACGTCTCAGTCTTTTGACCTGAGATCGGTGTGTCATTTAGCTATTCGCCTCTTGGACATGCAGCCTGTGTAAAATCAAAATGCACAGTAATATCCTACCGCATTCCAGATGTTGATTTTCCTCCGAGCACTGAGTATCTATCCTGCATCTGAAAGCTGCGCCCGCGCCGGCGGAAGACTCAGACCGACAGCGCGACGCCAAAGGCTCAGGTAAGTTCTGTTCTCGGCAGTCCGAGAGGTCATCCGCCCCGGCCGTGGACCGCGGACTGCGGTTTCTTGTCACGCTAAGGCCATGATGGCGGCGTTGCATGGACCAGTTTTGCACCGAATGCGGCTTCTGACGGCGTTTACTCGGACTCTGAATAAGCGAGGCCGAACAAGTCCTACAAACCGTGCCACTGGGGCGCATCCTTCACCCATGAACCACGTGCGGTCCCCGTCGGCGGCAGTCGAACGCCGGAGCCGCCGGTACAGCACACTGCTCACAGTCACGCTTGCAGGCTAACTGCGCTGTGTTTGCACGCAGCCCAGAACCCATCGCGCGCTGCATACCGTCATCACCGAGCGCGTCCTTGGATCGGTGACTGGCCACCCCGCCCCGTGGAAGATCACCGAACGTAAACAGCGGGGCCGCTGCCGGGCGCCACGTCACGGGCCGCCGGCCTCGTGACGCGTCACGCCTGAGACGCGCCGCGGCCGCCGTCCAGGGCCGGGGGAGCCCGGCGCGTGGTCTGGTCGCCTGGGCCACGCGTGACTCATCCAGCCGACGTGGTCCGACCGTGTCACGATCGGTGACGTCACACGCCCCGCTGCTGGAGATCGATCGCTGCGCTTCTCGCAGGCGGTTCTGACGATATGACGTCACTGTTGTGGTTTGTGTCGGCATGACTCGCCCGTTCACAGTGGACACGGGCCCCCGACGTCCGGCACCCGGTCCCCATCGAGGTCCCCCGGCTGCCGATGGGACGAGTCGCAAGGGTTGCCGCTAGTGCCGGAGACGGATTTAGCAGCGGAAGACCAGCTCGCCCAGTGATCTACGTGTGCAGGCCGCCACATTAAGGCATGGAGATTCGTGAACTACAGAGGACTGGCCTGAAACGAGACGTAGCTGGGGACATGCGGCCGAAGAGCAATGATTCGGACGGAAGAGAGACGGACCCGGAAGGGCCAGCCGGAACATGTGCCCCCCAGATGGTCCAAGTTGAGCCCCAAAATAACACATTTCTGGTGTTTGAGAACAGTGTGGGGAGTTTTGGCCTGGCGAAGTTTGCCATATGACGATCCTTGTGGTGAAAGGAGGCGAAATCCGGTGCTTTTTCAGATCAGGACACGCTTTGGGACTCGAAGTCAAGGTTGCCTCCCAAAAGCGGCGTTCTGGATTCGCCCTCAGGACGGAGGCTAAAGTAGATAGGGGAATATGCCCAAATGCTTAGGAGACGTGTCAGTGGACGCCACGCCCGCTCGGCAAGAACACATTCCAATCGTGCAGCCATCGGTCCACTGGCCATTGCCAGCCAGCATCGACCGGCGTGCTGCAGTGAACCGCTGCTAATGATCCACCGAGGCAACGGTTCGCACTCCCCCTCTGCCAGACGCGTGCCATGCCGCGACGCCTACGACCGTGACTCACCCACGAGAATCACGGTCATGTCCTCGCCGGCGTGCAGCCGCAGCTCGCGCAGCCAGAGCCTCTCCAGGCTGTAGAAAGTCTCGCGCTCTGTGACGTCATAGACCAGCAGCGCTCCCAGCGCGCCGCGGTAGTATCTGAAAACAAACATGGCGTTCGGTCAGCACCAACGCTGTTAGCAAAGGCTCGATACCGCCCAGTATTGACACCATCTGACAAAGTCCGGGGCAGCGCGTGTGTCGGTGTGGGGGCAGGTCAATACCGGCCACCACACAGGAGGCGTCGCGGCGCGGGCCCAGAGCCCGGCCGCGGACCGTTGTTTTTCCTCAGCGCCGCATCCGCCGTTGCCGGCCCGATGCAGGCCGGCGGCGGCGGCGGCGGCGGCGGCCGGGGACGCCCGCCCCGTGGCTGGCGGACCCGACCGGACCCGTGCGGCCCGTCGACTGCAGGCGGAGGCGGCTTGGCAGTCAAGGTTCCCGTTAATAAGGGGGATTTTTGAAAGCTTGGGCAAACCATGATGAGGATCGGCTCAATGGCGATCACTGGAGTCATCCATGAGTTGATTCCAACAAACACATGCTCAAAGGGGATGGTTTGGCGTATTGGGGCTCACATACGTAGTAGAATTGACTCCTTATTCGTAAGATAAATGGCACGCAGTGTATACACAATAATGCAGGCATCGACGTCTAGTTCACTATCTCCGATTCCGGAGAACCAGATCTCCCTGAGTCGGAATCTCAATGACCCAATACTTTGTCGCACTGACCACAGGAATCAACGTATCACGCGTGTACACGCACATAGGTATGCACGAACACGTGTGTATACCTATACCATACGTGTATAACACGGTTCATGATTATGTGTGTCACTGGGGCTTTACGACGTACTCAGCTGCTGAGGCTATATGACGTCGCCTGCCTCTCACCCCGGCAGGAAGGGCGGGCACCGCGGGGAATCGAACCCCGTACCTCTGGTTTCCCAGACGCGCAGCGGTTAACGCAGACGCGTTAACCACTGATGGATTACATTACATGATTACATCACGTGAGTATGTACGGACATGCGTGCGTGGTGTAATCACGCACCGTGGACCGCAGTCAGAGTCGCGTCCGCTGAGGTAGAAAAGAGCACAAAAGCCGGCGCACATCCAAGCCACCACTTGAACACCCGGCTACGCGCGGAGCACTCCGATGCGCGCGCAGCGGACCGACCGGAGATCCACCCCAGCAGGTCATCAGGAGCGGGTGAACGAGAGCACGCGGTCCAACGCGTCTGAGGAGACAGGCAAGACAGGCAACACCGGCGACCAGTGGAGGACGGTTAACCCGTCCAGCGGCTATTTCATCTGCCCTTTCATTGTCTTTCTCGATGACACGATGATGACGGTGATGGTTTTGGGTTTTAGGGCGCATCGACTGCTGTCGGTCATGCAGCGCCCACAACTAGCATTTTATGCAGAGCCGCAAATCAGACAAGCGTATCAATCAAGTCACCCTACAAAGCCTTGATGATCAGGCCTGGTATCATGGTGAAAAGATTACTGGGAAATCCGCATCGCGAAAAACTGGAACACTTTACCAAACTCGACACTCGACGACATGGATATTTAGGAGTTAGCCCCTGGCGGTACGGCGACAGTGGCCGACTGTCGCCTGTCCGAGCTCCGTCTCCACCGCCGCGCCAGCACGGACCGACGAGCCTCGGTGACCTAGTGACCCCGCCGAGGTCAGGAGCTAACGATCTGGCCACTGCCGGGTGGGCGGCCGGGCCGTCGGGAACGGGCGCAAGGTCACCAGGTGGGCCTGGCTCCGTCGGCGGCGCACGGCCACGGCTGGGCCGTGGGGTCAACACTGAGGGACAATGTGCCGCGGGATAACTTCGGTTTGTGAACCTACAAAACACTGTTTTCGAAAGTCATCTGCAACTATGCGGCTTCTTGTCCATGACTAAGAACAAACAGGCTTTATTACGATCATATCTATATAATGTCGCATTGTTATATTTCGTGTTCCGCTGGATTATGCTGACAGCCATTTCAGCCTTTCACATCATTGTGTGCCGAGTTGCTGTCATGGCTTAGGAAACAGTGCGTTGAAAGCACAGCCGAAAAATCGAAATGAGTGTCGAGCTGTCCAGACATCTCGGGGATCCTGTCGACGGTCAATCCTGGAAATCACCACAGGCCATCAGCCACAGCGCACACAGGCGAGCAGCCACAGCGCACACAGGCGAGCAGCCACAGCGCACACAGGCGAGCAGCCACAGCGCACCCAGGCGAGCAGCCACAGCGCACCCAGGCGGGCAGCCGACCGCCGGGGATTGGCCGGCGGCTCGCCACCGGTGCGGATGTGGTCTGCTCTGCCGCGTAAACGGGTCTCGAAAACATCTGCTCCAGATAAGAAATCCCCGTCCGTTTCTTTGCATTTGCCTTGCTCGCAGTATGTCAAGCACAACAAGACCAAACTTGTCATCCGATACATGTGACCGAGCGCTTAGCGGCATGGGGCTGCCGCCATCTTGGGCGTCACGCTGCCATCAGTCCGCCGTCAGCAAACAAATGCCCACAACGCGAGAGGTGCGAGTCGATAAGATACATCAACCGGGGTTATAAGAAAAGCAGCTAGTTTCTGGAATGAGACAACACAAACATTCACCTTCCTCCAAAAAATACGCGCGGAGGACGGCTGTTTCCAATTCTGGCGGGAGCCACGGCCGTGTTGCAAGCAGTGGGGACCGCAAGGGAATGAATGTGTTCAGAAACGCAGCCGCATTGCCGTCCTCCTGCTACGGCCGCGCCGGGACCAATCGCACGCCGTGAGCCGGCCGCCGCCGCTCCGCAGACACGTCAGGCCTGTGGAGCGGCCGGCGACCGGAGGAGGACGCCTCCCGGCCCTGCCAGGGGTACTCACGTGGAGGCGAGCGCCTTGAAGCGCTCCTGGCCGGCGGTGTCCCAGATCTGAGCTCGCACCGTCCTCGAGTCGATCTGCGGGCGGAGCGCGCCGCGTCAGGCGGGGCAGCGCCGCGGTACCGCAACATCCTCCCGGCGGAAGAGCGGAGAGCGCAGAGGCCGCCACATCGCCGCTGCAGGATTGCTCGGTGGGGCCAACACACGATGTCGATACGTATGTTTCCTCACGCGGCGGCAGTTCAGATCCTCTGACATACACTAAAGCACGGAACTCACATAGTCTGAAACGCTCCCTTTGTCGCTGGAGGCATCCTAGCTGCTCTTCTCAAACACCAATAAACTTCACCCCGTTGAGAAGGCATACTCACCACCATGTTCTTGGCGTCGAAGTCAAGGCCGATGGTCGGCAGGGTCTGCATTTGGAACGTGTTTCTCGTGAAGCGCGTGAACAGGTTGCTCTTGCCCACGCCGGAGTCGCCAGCCAGCACCACTGGGGGCGGAGGTCAGCCGGTCAGCGGAGCCACAGTTTCGGATGCCAGCCAGCAGCGTTCGCAGACGGACCGCGCCGACGAGCCGCGCGGGACGCCACCTCATCCGGCGGCGGACCAAGCCCGGGGAGTCCCTGCCAGCGTCTCCGTGGAAGCCGGGCGAGGTGGGGCAGGGACCTCACTGCTCAGTGGTGCATAAATCATAGCATGTCGTGACTTCAAGTGCCGTTAAGTGTCAAGGGGGCGTTGAACCAAGCCTAGTAGGCCGAAACAAGAATAGCGTAATTAGCTCTTCTGGACTTCAGATTTTTCAGTTACGACGGGCTTTAATAAACAAGGCCCTTCAGGCCTTCAAACAGAGCGGCGTTCAACCTGTCGCTCCTCGCCCGCGACCCGGGTCCAGGCCTTACGGCGCTCTTCATAAACTGCTGTACGCCAGCAACAAACTCCGAGGCCGCAACCGAATCAGTTCACTTGCCATCGGATCATGCCCACGCCAACCATTATCGAAACCGTACCAAATTTATCAACACCTGATCATGATCAGTAAACGCCCGTCCCAGGAAGCTATCCCGGGCCTATCGGCTGCTCCTGACTCGACCGGGCGGTCTGCGCGGCTGAGTCAAGTTTACAGGGGGGTCGGGCACACAGGGAGCCCAGGCGAGCCTCGCAGGTCGGCCTGGTTCACCGCTCGCAGCGTCACTGGTGCTGTCCGCGCTCCCTCTGCCAAGGTCGGTGAATGCGCCCAACCGTGGCCACAGGGCGGGATCCGGGACGACGTAACATGTACACAGAAGTGTTTCCAAGCGTGCGCGCAATGATGCAATCCTGCCACATTTATCGCCCAGCCCGCACATCGCGAGGCGGGCCGACCGAACGCGACTCAAAAGCGCCGTAGCTTGTCGCCAGCTGGTACCGAAGAATCCGAGCGCCCTAGGAACTTTACGGTGACGCACCTGCATGGCGAGATAGCAACGCTGCGTACCGGGGGTCAGGCCTACGGTTTTCTCCTTTCTTTCGGAGCATTTTTCTTAAGGCGTTCAACGTTCCTGATTTTATTTCCATCTTTGTTTTTATACGAATTGCTCTCTTTGCGCCATAATTGCGAAGTCTTGGTCGTAACACAACCGATTGGGAGGCGGTAGCCCAATACATACGACGTTTTCATATGATGTTGTGATAGCGTTGCTGTCCACAACATCACCTCCTGCTACAGCGCTGGGGCACGGGAGGGCCGCGTGCCCTCGAGCTAAGGCCCTGCAGCTTGTCCTGTTCGGTGTCCTGCACGCACGAGATGCCCTGCTTTTCGGACCGCGCGACGCCGACTGACCGCGAGTGCCGTCGTCGGTCGCGGCTGGGACAGCGGGCGGTAGGTACGCACCTTTAAAAATGTAGTCGTAGGTATCCTGCAGGTCCGGCTCGGGCGCGTCGGCCGGCATCGCGCCTGCTGCCGCCGCCGGCGGCTCTCACGAACCGCACGCTCACCGGGCTCCGGTCCGCCGCCGCGCGAACTCCGGTCCGCCGCTGCGCGAACTCCGGTCAGCCACCGCGCGAACTCCACCCGGAACTCGCGCGAACTCCTGTCTGCCGCCGCGTGAACTCCACCGGGCACCTACAGCGCGCACCGACCTTTCACCGGGCCGCCACAGCCGCCGCCACCTCCCCGCTCGCGCTCTATCGCGACGACTGAGCGCCGACCGCGGACGTCCGGCCCAGCCGGCCGGCTATCAGCTGCCAGTTCCAGGTGGCCGGCGCCACGGCCGAGACGTGGAGCTGACGTCATGCCGGCGCCCGGCGGCCAGTGAGTGGCCGCGTCGCGCCCGGCGTGACGCCATCCTGACGTCACTGCCACCGCTGGCGGGACAGCTGGCGGCCCGGTGTCGACAGAGGGAAACCGGGCCGCCCCCGCCCGCCGCAGATGGTCAGGGGCTAACGAACAGGCCGGCGCCGGCACGGTGTCTCGCCGTGACCCGCTCGCGGTGCTCGCCGTGTCGGCTGGCGGTGCGACCCGCCAACAGCCGGCTGTCCCGGCATCCGAGCGGCCCTCCTGATACCACGGGGCGTCCTTCAGGCCTCTCAGAGGCGCTCCGAGCGAGCGCGTCAGGCGGGCCGCGGTGGCCTTCTGGGACCACATATATGTAGACCGCGCGAACATTCTTGAGATAAGAGTGTTGAACATGCTTGAGAACCATCAAGCTGTGGTAAAATGCCGCGGACAGATGGTATGGACGATCAGCTGCGCCGACACCGCTGACCAAAATCGCCTGACAGCAACGCTTCTCAGAAACGGGTTTCGCCACGCCGGGCGCCATTCAGTCCATTCTGGTACATCAGACTGAACCCATTCACCCCTCCGTGGGATCAGAGTGCTATTTGTCGAGCTGCCCGGCCCTGGCGCGATAGCCGCTTCAACGACTGATGGAAGCACTCCAGCTGAGCGGCTTCTGATAATGTCCACAGCTCAACCCCGGACTGAACGGCCTCTGAAAATGTCAACAGTCCAACCCCGGACTGGACGGCCTCTGATAATGTCCACAGCTCAACCCCGGACTGAACGGCCTCTGAAAATCCCCACAGCTCACACCGGACCGAGCGGCCTCTAACAATGCCCACAACTCACACCGGACTGGACGGCCTTTGATAATGCCCACAGCTCACACCGGACTGAACGGCCTCAGATAATGCCCACAACTCACACCGGACTGAACGGCCTTTGATAATGCCCACAGCTCACACCGGACTGAACGGCCTCCGTCAATGTCCACAGCTCACCCCCTGACTGAACGGCCTCTGATGCCTTAAACTCAGCCCCGTTCTTACCGGCCTCTGATAATGCCCGCAACTCACCCCCGTTCTAAACGGGTTCTGATAACGGCCACAACTCATCCCCGTTCTAAACAGCACAACGGACTGAACGGCCTTTGATAATGCCCACAGCTCACACCTGACCGAGCGGCCTCTGATAATACCCACAACTCACACCGGACTGAGCGGCCTCTGATAATACCCACAACTCACACCGGACTGAACGGCCTCCGTTAATGTCTATAGCTCGCCGCCGGACTGAACGGCCTCTGATAATGCCCACAATTCACCCCCGTTCTAAAAGGCCCCCGATAATGCCCACAACTCACACCGGACTGAACGGCCTCCGATGATGCCCACAGCTCACTCCGTACTGAAGGACTCTGATAATGCCCACAGCTCACCCCCAGACTGGACGGCCCCTGATAATGCCCACAAATCAGCCCGCTCTAAACGGCCTCCGACATTGCCCACAGCTCACCCCAGACTGAACGGTCTCTGATAATGCCCACAGCTCACCCCATTCTAAACGGCCTCTGACAATGCCGACAACTCACTCCCGGACTGAACGGCCTCTGACAATGCCAACTCACACCGGACTGAACGGCCTCTGATAATGCCGACGACTCACACCGGACTGAACGACTCTGATAACGCCCACAGCTCACCCCCATACTGAACGACCTCTGATAATGCCCACAGCTCACACGGGACTAACAGCCTCCGATTATGTCCACAGCTCAAACCCGGACTTCATTCTTCGGTCTTCATTCTCACAGCAGCAGCCAGCTTCGAAAACCAAACTCGATATGACTATTTTATTTCAATAAGGTTTCAACATGGTTTACGGAAACTTGTCACAGCTACTGCTGGCGCGCGCGGCGGACAGACGCGATGTAGTAGTGGCGGCGCCGGGGCCGGGGCCGGGGCCTGGCCGGCCGCCGGCGCCGCGCGTAACTAAAGGCACAACAAGCGGCCGGGCCGGCGCGTCCGGCGGCCGCCGGCGGCGCGCGCGCGCCCCCTGCCGCCCCGCGAGGCCGGCCGCGCCCGCCCACAAGGCGCGCCTCTACTGAGGTACCCCAACTCAACTTTGGCAGATGGGCCGCCCGGCGGCCGGGACGCCGCGGTGACCAGCTAAACAAGGCAGCCGTTTTAGATAAGACACTAACGCTGCGGATACAAAAGACTGGTTATGCGACCACAAGTAAACGCAACCCCTCGAGGCGGAATGGGCATATAACAAGAGTGACGAGTTCGCAGCCTGGCGGCGCGCGCGCGCTCACGTGTCCCCAGTGTGGAGTAGCGGGAGAATTTTAGCCCTTTTGCGGCGTGAGGCCGAACGCTCAGCAATATATCACAATTGCCTCCAATAAATACATGTAAAAAAGAGGGTGTGTTGGGGCGGCGGCGCCGTCCGTGGCGCGTGTGGAGGGGGCGGGGCGGGACGCAGCGGGCGCCGGTCTAGCAGCACTGCTTCTTGACGGGCCCAGAGTCGTCGGTGGGCTCGATCACAATGGGCCCGGCCGACGAGGGGCGGGCCGTGTCGTCGCCGTGGTCGGGAATCTGCTTCTGCGACATGATCCGGTAGATCTCTGCGGACACGGCGTGGCGGGTGAGGCCAGCGGCGGGGGTCAGGGCGCCGCGGCAGCCCGGAAGGAGCCGGAGGGAGGGGAGGCAGAGGCGACGGGCAGGGCCCTGTGCAGGGAGCGGCTGGCGGGCTGGCGGGGCTGGCGGGCTGGGCGGACCGACCCCTGACCAGCTGCTGCGGCGGCTAGCCCCACGCCGACTGGGACGCATCTGTCCCGGGAGGGCGGCAGAGGAAACATGCAGGACGGATGGTGACGACCGCATCTACGCAGGGCGTCAGCTCTTCAACAGACGCAAGCAGGACCGGGTGCGGACGGAGCCTGAGAGGAAGACCACAGAAGCCGGTGCTCGTAGTGTGCAGGCGACGGGGAACACTCAGACGCCGTGACAACACCGAAAGCAGCTACCCGCGGCGCCAGCGAGACGGTCACCGCCACAGACAGTCAGAGCCAGGCACCAGTGCCGCTGATCCACAGAGCAGCGGCGTGTTACAGAGTGAATGTGCTTCTCGCGAAGACTGTGCTATACCAGGCTGGGGGGGCGCGGCCAGCGAGGCGGGGACCGACAGAAAGCCGAAGAGACCAGCCAGCCGCAGCAGCGACTCACACCAGCCGGTGGTCAGGAGCCGGGCCCGACTCGGACCGGGAGGGTGGCCGGATCTGGACGGAAGGATGACCGGATCTGGACTGGGAGGATAGTCGGATCTGGACGGAACGAGAGTCGGATCTGGACAGGGACGTGCGGATCTGGACCGGAAGAGCAGCAGGCTTCGGACGAGGACGACGTCCGGATCTGAACAGGAAGACTGTCCGGACCTGGACCGGGAGGAGGGCCGGGTCCGGACCAGGAGACCGGCCGACGGGCTTGCGACGGACGGTGCCACAGATCGCGAGGAGGCGTACGGGAACCACACGCCCGCGTTTCACAATGACCGGCAGCAGGAGCCGCCCGATGACCCAGAGATGACCCGATCTAGGCGGCCCGCTGCACTCGGCACGCAACGTGAGAGCCGGCAGCGCCACCCGGAAACAGGAGCGTATCGGCACACGTCTCCAGCGCCCCGCGGCCACCGCGCCGACCGGTCGCGGCCGGTTAAGCGGACACAGACGAGTGTGCGGTGCTTGGCTCGTGAGTGCCTGCATGCTGGATGAAGCCCTTTTGCCATGTGAATGTGGCTGGTGCAGGCGGCGCTCAAACCGTGGCAACACACGGCTAGACACGGGATTTTACATGAGCAACAATAAATTTAGTAGGCTTGTACGCCGTACGGGGAATCGCCAGTCCCAATGTCGCACAAGAAATACAAATCTCTCCCAAAAGCATACTACTCCATTGCAAGTTTTCTTTGAAAACGCGACGGAAGGTACGAATGAAAACGCGTGGCGTTGGGTTAACGGTCGACACCCTCTCGTTGGCAGCGTAAGAGGTAAACACAGCTGCTCTGCGCATTTCAGCCCGTTTCGTAGATGACCGCTGTTAATTTCGGTTGTCTGTCCGGCCGCTACGCCGCAGCCGGCGGCCCGTGCAGACGCCCGGCGCTCCGGTAAACAGGCCGCGCCCCGCCCCCGGGCGGGGCTTCATCCAGCATGGGCGACGGTGCCGTGCGGGGTCAGAGGGGAGAAGCACCGGACCTGTCGGCGCGCCGTTAGTTCTGGCAGCACTGTCTGCGCACGTTCTCCGTGTTGACCGTGGGTTCCACGTGGATAGACTTGACGTTGTGAGTGGGGGAGTCCTCATCGTTGGGCTCTCGGATCTGTTTCTGCGAGACGATCCGGTATATCTCTGCGCGTGCCAGGCCGCACCCGTTAGTCGGTATCACGCAGTGCCCACGCACACACCCACACAGACACACAGGGAGACAGAGGCTCGCGCGCACGGGGTGGGTGAGGCGCCGCCACCGCCGGCCCGGCCGCCGGCGCCGGGCCGCTATACAGACGCGCCGCCGCCGCCGCCGCCGCCGGCCGGGCGCTGTTAGTGGTGCCGGGACGCGCCGGCGCCGGCCGACGGCGGCCCGGCGACGAGAGCCGGCGGCCGCCCGTCACGCAGCGGCCGGCAGCGCCGTCACGGACAGAGGAGACCGCTGCAGGCCGAGTCACGTCCATATCACCCCTACAGCTACCGACACATCAGGTAGTGACGCCAAAGCGCGCGGCAGGCGGCCAGCTGCGTCGGTCATCTGTTGTGACTTGATCGATAGCGACTCAGTGTGCTTCACTTGGCAACGACTACAAAATGCCTCGATAATCGTTTCAGCATGCTGACCTACACCACAGGGGATGCAAGCGCTCACTTTTTCAATGAAGCACACCTGCACGGGCAAAACTATGCAAAACGCCACAGCCCTGCCACCAGATCCGACACATCTACTCCGCAAATGCCGATCACACGTCCAAAACACCGGAAATCTACGCCAGTAAAACGGACAGAAAACTACCAAAAAGCTATCGACAAACACAGCACACCAAATGCCGGGACACGGCGTCCGTCGAAACGCCCAGGCTGGGGCGGCCGTTGTACCTGTGAGAATGTTCTGGAAGGCCGTCTCCACGTTGGTCGAGTCCAGCGCCGAGGTCTCGATGAAGCTGAGCGTGTTGCGCTCGGCGAACGCCTTGGCCTCGTCCGTCGGCACCGCGCGCAGGTGTCGCAGGTCCGACTTGTTACCTGTCGAGAGCGGGCCGGTCAGAGGAGGAGCGGGCCGGGTCAGAGGAGGAAAGCGAGCCCGGTCAGAAGGGAGGAGCGAGCCGGGTCAGAGGGGAGGAGCGGGCCGGATCAGAGGGAGGAGCAGGCCGGATCAGAGGGGAGGAGCGGGCCGGGCCGGGTCAGAAGGGAGGAGCGGGCCGGGTCAGAGGGGGAGGGGGAAGCGGGTCGGGTCAGAGGGGATGAGTAGGCCGGATCAGAGGTGAGGAGCGAGCCGGGTCAGAGGTGAGGAGCGGGCCGGGTCAGAGGAAAGAAGCGGGTCGGGTCAGAGAGGAGCGGGCCAGGTCAAAGACGAGGGGTGGGCCGGGTCAGCGGGTCACACGCCATCGGCAGCGCCACCACCGCTCGCCGCCTGAGGAACGCAGGTTGGAATCCCGATAGAGACGCGCTACAGCCACAGCATGTGGAGCAATCCACCCCGGCCGTGTTTTTGTTATTTTTTCACTAAGTGCTGTACGAAACCACAAACGGCCACTGAAGTCATGTGTGATAATTCATGGCTCAGTTCACAACTTAACAACGACCAATGCCACGGCAGAACAACGAAAATGTCTGCGAGACAACTGCCAAGATTTATAGGTACTTACTCGTCGAGGAACTATCAAACACACATGACAAGCGGACCGTTATCGTAAAACTATAAGCACCCAAATGCTTTCCAAATCTCTCTCGAAACCGAGTCGTTCAAATTTCGAATTCCGCCATCGCACGCGTCAAGGCCGGCAGCCGACACAAGCTGAATACGGCGACTCAACGACGTTGCCGACCACTTTGTCGAATTAATTTCATTAGCTGCATAGTTCCATTATCAGTCAAAGTGCATTCCGCGAGCCGGCCGTCCGGCGTGCTGCCGTCACAGCAGCGGGCTTCAGCGCGCCGTGCGCCGAGCCCGAGCCGACCCCGCGCCGCGACCGTCGGTGCCGCGCCGCGACCGTCGGCACCGCGCCGACGGACGCGTCAGCTGACGTGCTCTTGGACGGCGCGGGTCACACGGCCGGCCGACGTGGCCCGATAGCGGCCCGGCCGCGATACGGCGATACGGCGATACGGCGGCGCACGTCACGCGTCACGCGACAGGCCGCCTGCGGGGCCGGCGGGGCGCCCAGTCGGCCGCCGGCCGCTTCCGGCAGCAGCGGGCTCGGTCCGTCGCCGGCAGCTCCGGCCGCGGGCGCGCCGCTGGCGGTCAGCGCCGCCGCATCCGCCGTCGTGAACAAAAGAGCTCCTCTCGCCCACCCGCTAGACACCGCCCCGATCGTGCAGCCGGCGCGTAACAGGCTGCAATAATTTGGGCGGATAACATGCTGAAATCAAGATTAAGGATGTGCTGGCCGAGTCTCGCACCGCTGAATGTTCGCCGAAAGGCGCGCAGTTCGCCATTCTTTTTTACTATTCATCGCACTTAATTCCATCAACGTACAAAAATTATGTAGTGGTAGAGGCCGTCGAACAAGTAATTTGAATTGCGAATACTGGTGAGGAACACGACGCCCACAGTTAGTTCTGTGGATTCATGCACGATCGTAAAGCAACCAGCCCGGGGACGACTGTTGCCGGGCGTTACTCTTGACTGAGCTGTGTGCCAGAGTGTAAACAAGCCCTGACTCGTCAGGTCACCGCCGGTTCAAGGCTCACTCTAGCGGTCACACCGAAGCCGACACGATAGCGCCAGCGTGCTCAAAGAAGTGGGCCGATAACGAGACTCGTGGACACCACTGTTCCAATCGCTTCAGGTTTCAGTGTGCACAAAATCGTTCCAAACAAAGTACACAAACAGCGCAAACCATTCGTTCAATTTGTGCCACGAATTCGAAACTAAGCATCGCTTAACGCAAACGCACGATCGTGCAGCTTCCGCATCAGACACCTTCGGAAAAATAGCTTTCCTCCACATCAATCTTAGGTCACATTTTACCGGGAGATTTTCCGCCTCGGGCGGCCATGTAGGGGTGACAGCTATGCCGCCGACGGCGTCAGGGAGGCGCCTGGCCCGGCCCGGCACCGCGTTCAGCCCCCACCGCCGCCACTCACCGCGAGCACGGTGACGATGTTCTGACTGGCGCGGCCCTGGTGCGCTCAGCCCCCACCGCCGCCACTCACCCACGAGCATGATGACGATGTTCTGGTCAGCGTGGTCACGCAGCTCCCGCAGCCAGCGCTCCACGTTCTCGTACGTCAGGTGCTTGGCAATGTCGTACACTAGCAGCGCGCCCACCGCTCCTCGGTAGTAGCTGAGGGACACGGCGCGGCCGCCCGTCAGACGCGCTCCGGCTCGCGGCTCGTGCGGCCCCAACGGCGGACCGGGCCAGGTCTCGGCAGCGGCAGGCCCGCCGACGGGTCACCGAGGGCGGCGCCCCCCGGTCACCGGCACCGGCGCTACAGATCGCGACTCCGGGCCAGCTGCCGGTCGCCAGCCACGCTCGGCGCGATCACCAGCGGATCCGACATCATGCATCAGCACCAACAGGTGTCCGTGTCACGAAGAACACGCAATGGGGACGGATTTTCCTTTTTTGGGTGCCGCAATCCCCCCCCCCCCCAACTTGGACTCCAACCCTCAACCCTTAGGATGAAAGTGGACCCCAGTCAGGGAAAAATCTGCTGTTGGTGTATTTCGGAGGTAGGTGTCCCATCTTTACCTTCCCACCTACCACCAGATCACGATGTAAAACTACACCCAACACGCAAGGCCGGTGACAAAGCTCCATGGTGTCAGCCAAAGGGAGGACTGCAAAGTAAGAAGGAGGGTGCTCACGCAGATGTGATGGCCCGATACCGCTCCTGACCAGCAGTATCCCAGATTTGAGCCTTTATTGTCTTTCCATCCACCTGTGAGGAACGCACAATGTCATACAACGAGAAACACACGGTCTGGTTAGCACACATGTCTGGTACGAACAGGTCATCAGGAGAAATCCCATCAGCCAGCTGAGCCCAAAACATCATAAACAAAATGACCACTGTTTCACAAGTCATGATAAGGAATTGCGGTATCCATGCTGAACTTCAGTGAACATCATACACAAGGTGGCCTCTCCAGTTAAACCAACAAAATACATCACTGCATACCGATATACTTCTGGTCGCAAACTCCACACCAATGGTAGACTTGGACTCCAGGTTGAACTCATTTCTTGTGAAACGGGACAGCAGGTTACTCTTTCCCACACCTGAATCTCCAATTAAAACAACTGTAAACAAGATCAGAGTCTCATCATGCATGCAAAGTGAATGCACATATAAGATGACAGCCAAAAAAAAAGGTTAATTTAAACACAGTGCTCAACAAATCTCCAGCAACACAATGTAGTTTGTTCACGCATCACATGAATTGCAACATGTAGGATTTACTCGGTCAAACACACTGACATTCCAAGCGACTTTCAACAGTATCTAAGAAAACATTCTGATCAATTATTAAGAAATGCAACACAGGAAGTTTATATGATAACTCCTCTTTAAATTATGGCTAAGATATGATGAACAACTGGAGACTGTATTAATCTTACCTTTGAACAAATAATCATACTCATCATCTCTTGTGTTACTCATGTTGTGGTTTCACAGCAAACTGAGACACCCAATAAATTTGATGTCACTTAGGTGCCTGAGGACATCGGTTCAGCACATTATTCATAAGCACCATTTGCTACAAATGTTGATACACCAGGTCAGAAAACCCATGGATAATCATCAGTGACAATTTGGGTTAAACACTACTGAGAGGCAACATTCCAAGATTCCCTACTGAGGTGTCAAGGATGCAAACACAAATTCATGCTTCCAGAATTCTGTCTCCTCAGCACCTAGATGTCACTGGCTGCCAACATGTTGCCCTTTGACCCCAGGCCCTGGAATTCTGGTCATGATCTTGTCTGCCTTTATCAAACCCCATTGCACCCAGATGCTGGTTAAATGCCACCTAGCTTCAATTCTGGTTGGCTGATGCTGAGCAAGCAAAGACATAGTAGCAGCAGTGAACACCATATTGGAAGAAAGGCATCAATAAACATTCAAATCTTTATACTTGAGTGCCCAAACATTGTATTAATGCAAGCACATTAATAGATATGAAATTAATGAAACACATTGTGAAAGGCTTCTTCCCCAAAAATGCATGGTAAGGCATCTGTTGACCAGAAAGAAGAAAGAACAGACATTGGAAATAATAGAACATTAGTGAAGTATCAAATTCATGCATTTAACAATAACTTACAATGAAACATGCCAGGAAGCACAAGAGCTAACTAATCTCTCACATTCAATGGCACACCACCTAGTGGATCAAGATATCAGTCCAAGGGGCAGGGGATCTTCTAGTATCAGTCATAAGGACCTTGCATAGCTTTCCATTAATAGCAAGGCTACCAAATCCAGAGTCTGCCCTGACAGGAATACAGAACACAATGCCTAAAAACTCCGGGACACCTGTCAAATCAATATATATCTGACAAACATCACAATGTTGCATCATATTTATCATATCACTAGCTAGACCAAACACATGATAGCATGCAAAATACAACTATGAGCATCTAACCCTAAATCTTGTACTGTGTACATAAATGCAATATAAATCCAGAGCCCTTTTCATACAGGACGCATTTGTGTTGCTTAATGGCCATGCACACAGAGCACTTGGCACTTTCAGCAGCACAGAGCACTTTATTATCATGGATAAATATCATATCACAGGATAAAAAACATGCATTTATTCTTTCAACAATCATTAAATGGGTTTAAGTGCATAATCCATGAATGATGTATCAACCTTTTCCGAACTATAAGACATATGCAATTCATGCCTAATATAAATATAATGTGCACTGAACATAACTTTAAAGTCGAGCACCACCAAATCTCACGCAGCGCGAGTAGATGCGACGATACTCCCCTAATGACCAGCACAAAGAGTGGAGACTTGTGGCGTTGTAGCCGGGGACAAAAGCGCCATAAGCCACATGCCAAGCATCTCAATGTCGGTATACAAATGGAGCGCATAAACAAAGGGAAAAAAGAACATGCTTCCGATCGGGATATACCTGGCCTGTTCCGACTTCGGAAAGTCCAATTATATTGCAACAATTCACAGCGAGATCCTCACACCCGCGATCCACCGTCGCAAAAATGGTGGTGCTGGTGACGCCCATGCGCATGCGCAGAGTGGAGCAGATTAGGCTTATTTCAGTGTACTAGATATGATGCCATTAGCCCCAAAATCTGAATGGGGTCGTCCACATATTAGCGCTACGTATTGAGGGGAAGGGGTTCTTGATTGAGCATAACATAGGCGTAACAAGGGAAATGGAAGGTTAGACAAGGTAGTGTTGCACTCAGGTAGGGTCGCAAATCATGTTTAAGGTTTTCCTCATTTAAAACCCCACAACGAGATATCATTGGTCCACCCTCACAAGCAATACGTCACCCGTCTTTGTTTCACACCTTTAGGTCAATGAAGGGATAGACAGACGTTACTCTTCGTGGCCTTGCGGTTAGCACAGCGTAACCAGGTGGGGGGGGGGGGGGGGAGTATTTCACCCAGCTGCGCCCAACCAGAGAGGGGGCTATATGACCGAGCAGTCGTAGCTCCAGAAATCCTCCCAACCGGGAAGTGGGTTACGTGTCCAATATGACATAGCAATATTCATCACCAGACCCATAGATAACTTATCTCAGCAAATGGCTAAGGATCTGCACCAAAAATAAAATGTAGTCTTATTCGACCTGGTCATAATTCATCAAGCCGCATTGAGCACCGAGCCCCGTGCGTTGGATTGGCAGGGACGGATGCAGAACGAGCGAACCCACCGCAAACCCAATATAATTTGCCGGCATGTTCCTTTGGCCGTCCAAGGAGCGTGATGCTCTGCAGCAAAAGACGCACTTGCTGTTGCGTGTCCCACATTTGGGTGCACGAGACTCCATAGCCCCTCTGAGTTCACATAGCCTCACGAGTTCACTCCATAGTTCCTCTGAGCATGACTTCACGGGCCCGGGAGCGCATGGGAGTCTGAGTAGTGTGACATTTCGTTCCCAAGCGCAGATTTCCTCCGCCCGTGCCTTCTGCTGGCACCTCTGGGCGACCTGATCACGGTCTGCTCGAGTGGCCATTTGTAGTCAGTTCTCTTCAGCTCCTAAGCCACGGAGCGTCATTGTTCACGGCAACGACAAACCGTTGAAAATCGTAGATCCCCGGCACGGACGGCTACGTAGCGCACATCAGCCCATCCCAGACCATCGGCCAGCACGCGGAGCACATAATGTGCACGGAGTCGCCGCGCCACTATTCGCCGCACTTAACAGCGGCAACCGGACTCGCCGCTTTCACCACCCAGCTGTCAGATACCGCGTGTATTGAGCATTTCGGAGCAGACACGTGGCCAAAGTTGGATGCAGACAATCGGAGGTCCTAAAAAATCTCCCCGCGGGAAAGATGAGCCTATTCCTGCGACATAGTTTAACTTTACGACACCGGTCTTGAAAACGAAGTTGCACGAAAAAAGAGCAAAAAAGCGCTAAAACGTGTTTTACTATGGACCTAAAATACAAATATGATGTAGATATAACCATATCTATGTCCAACCGTTATCACAGCTGTGATGAGTAAGTTGCATCGCGCTCGTAGTAGGCGTAGTACACAACGCATTGCACTTGACAACTGGATCATGTTAAAACGCGTCATGCGCAAAAATAGTTCCAAATTTTGTACTGCATGTGAGCTATGCTAGGTCACAATCGTGCAAGGGCAAGACCCAAGCTCAAAACGCAAACCGTGTCACAGGCCATAAATGAATGATAATGAATGCGAGGTCTGGGCGGCATGAGAGGATTCAGCTCGACTGGCGCATGACAACCAATCAAAAACGCTGCTCACACTCAAACTCACTCCGACAGGCATAGCGACGCAAGTCGGTTGCCACAGCACGACAGCTTCTTCGTCTTCAGGAGCGAGCATACGACGACCGCGGCGTGGAAGCGTACCACGGGCGTGGTGCCGAGCGGTCCGTTCTACCAGCTAGACATCGCGCTCTCCACTCACACACACATCACTGCCGACACGGACGGAGGTTTAGGGCGTTTCACCGCCGGCGGACATCGCCAGCCCTCATATGCTCGTCTCGTTCACGTCGACTGCGGCACGCACGGCCTTTGGAGCCCACCGCCGGCCAGGGAGAGTCGTCAGCTAGTACAGAGGAGGAGGTTCATCAGCTGGGCTGCCCCCGCTGACGTCGGCGCGTCTCGTCTGACACCGCCGGTCCCGTGACGTCACCAGACGGGTCCCAGCCCGAGGCCTGCAGCTTCGGCACCGGGATATCGGCGGAGGGGCCGGCGCGGCTGGCCGCGGCGCCGCCGGCCGCCCCCGGGTCAGGAGCCGCGCAGGATGGATCCGCATCCTCATTCAGCTGGTCCTGAAACGACAGAGCAACGGAAGCGTCAAGAAGCGGCTCGCTGGCGGCGCTGACAGTGATTGGTGATGTGCTGCCGTTCCACACGGCTATTACTGGTGTATGGCTGGTCCACCAGGTTCATCTGATGAGCACGTGCAACTAGCTAATGCACTGAAGGCCACGTCCTATGCTATTTTTAAAACATGCATCACAAATCTGATAAAACAAACACCAGACAATGGTACAGCAAATACGAAACACCGTGTCGGACCGCTACTTCGCGCGCATCTGATGAGCTAACGGCCGACGGGTGATGGCCCCCCAAGCTGAGGTGACGCAGGGCATCACGTCTGGCGCCCGGAGCGACGTCCAGCCTGTGTCCCCTCACCCTGTGCTTGATGTACGAGAGGAACACGTCCCAGACGACGGTGACGACGTTGACGTACAGCACGCGGTACGGCTCAGGTACGTAGCGGAAGTTGATCCACTGCGTGGGCGGCCAGATGGCCCAATCAAACTGCGGGCGGAGGGCGGCCGCGTGAGGGCCAACGGACGTGACGTTGTGTCGTCGCTGTCACGGACCAGCCCCCGTGCCACCGCTGTCACGGACGAGCCCCGGTGCCGCTGCTGCCACGGACGAGCCCGGTGGGCTGCAGGGATTTGACACACTGGGCGCAGTGTAGCGATAATCGACTTGACCATACAGCCTGCAGGGAGTCGAGCCAGTGGCAGCCATGGGCCCGAAGATCAAAGGCTAACGTCCAATCCACATCAAAGAAATCCAATTAATACAGTGGGTCTGTGACTGAAGCCAACACACTACTGAAAAGAACAGCTGCAAAATCAATGAGTGCATTGGAAACTCTCTTGCATGTCACTAGGGTCCACGCCCGGACCTATCTTACTTGACCACATAAAACATCGACTTGCGCGGCCAAGCCGGTCGCCATGCCTTCTGGGATGAGATGCCTTTTCCACAGCAGTCAAATCTAGAAAAGTGTTAAGAAGCAAGAAGAACACCTCCTTGGAAGTTGCGCCGTGTCAGTTTTGCCGCAAATGAACACAAGGGGTATCGGTCACGGGTGTTTTTTTTTCTACAACGTTGCAACATAGCAAAGTGTGACTGGTATCACCTTCCTCGTGAGTTTAGCATGGACAAATGTAAATTTACCACTCGCGAAAGTCTGCATAACGCGGGTCGTAAATGGGCCCGGACCTCACCAACACGGCATCGCAGCCTCTCGAAACAGCCACTGCTTGGGGCGGTGTACGTACTACCTCTAGGTCTCGGACCCCGCGGCTGATAAAGACGTGGGACCAACTGCACGGTGCATGTAAATGTGCACTGTATGGATAACTACACTATCTCAACATCCATAGGCGTGACAGTAATTTACTTCGAGCGACCAGGGTCAGCTTTTTCGAAGCGTGTCTCGGATACGACACGCTGTGGCTAAACCGATTGAGTATGAACCACGAGAACTCTACATCCATATGAACCCGTTCACTGACTATATCCACTCAACATTGCAATTTTCGCAACGATTTGCCTAAAGCCAGAAGAAAACCGTATTATCGGAAATTACCGCTTTTGTCAGCTGAAACGGTAAGGTGTGGCACGACCCGTCTCTAGACATTTGCCGGGCGTGTCGTATGTGAGCAAACGAACGCCGCAGAAGTGGGTGTCCACATCCTGAAAGTCCATTAAAAACGGACTATGCCACAATGTATCACTGATCGAGCCAACTTGCAAGGTCCATTACGATATCTGACCCCATTAGTGCGAAACGCACCTAAACGACCACCCATATCGATGTGTGGGAGTTCTGAACATTAGAATTACAGGGACTACGCGTTTCACCGTTAGTGCCCCCCCCCCCCCCCCCTCCCCATATATCACAATGTCACCAACTCCGCGGTAACCTTCCCCTAAGCTCAAAGCCAAGCCAGCCACAGGTCCCTTTAAGACCCCGGCCAGGGGCAGTACCGCTGCAGGTCACAAGGTTAGCACCGCCCTGTCACTGACCAGGTACACCTCCGGGAACTTCATCTGAAACTCTTGCAGACTGCGCGCCATGGTGCGGCCCTCCAGCAGCCCAGCGCCCAGGAAGAAGGTGACGGCGAAGAAGGGCGCAGCCACCAGCTGGTCGGCCAAGATCTTGAGCCGGACAACGCGGCCCGAGCGGCCAGGCAGCCACCGGTCCAGCCATGTGTACCACAGGTGGTGTGGTGGGCCCTGGCTCAGGCCCACAGCAAACATCCGGCCTGCGGGGGTGACACAGGGTCTGGGCTGGTCTGGGCCTGTATTCACACATGGCTGCATAATCATGCCCAACCAGGCACAAATGAACTCAAGCAAAAACATATCATGGTAATGAGGAGCTTTCAATGGCGATAGGGCCAGGTCCCTGATAAGTAACAAAATGGACACCTATTCGTGACTCAACTATGCATGTGCATATTCACCCAAAATGCAGGGTAACATAAAGGTCAATCACTTAAGGCAGCAAATAATAGTTCTCAGCATTGTGAGAGATGGAATAGAAACAGGCTTCAATTTGTACATTTAGCCTAAAATCTTACTTCAACTGATTTTTATCTTCATAACATGTTTTACCTTGAACCTAAGGTCTTGACCACAAGTCAAGATGGATGCAGATGAACAGGCTCACAGCACAAGAAATCCTAGAGATAAGATCAATGAGACCCTTACCAGTACGCTTCCAGTTATAGTGTTCCTCAGCGTGCACTCCACGTTGGAACTCCAGAAGCTGTTGTATACCATCCCCAGCAGCCAGCAACGCCCCACAGCTGACAGTGTTGGTCAGCCAGAGCCGGCGACCAAACAAGGCACCCAGCAGGCCCATCACCTTGCCTTGTAGTGACACAGTTAGTCTCACTGCCCTGGGTCAACCTCTGGTTCATCACTCCAACATAAAGCCCCTGACCTGGAATGTGATAATGGTTGAGATCGAACACAGGTTGGTAATGTTTGCAAACATGTCATTTGGCAGCCCCCAACCACCCATCAAACTACATATTCAAATGTTATCCAAAATGCAGACAGTGTCCAAAGCACCCAGTTAGCCCATGAGCACCACAATATTCCAAGTAAGCTCCATCACCACCAGACAGCCCAAGTTGCCTTGCATTAGTCATCAAGCCAGGATAAATCCTCTGGTCTGGCACACCAAACTGGTTGATAAAAAGGAATGTAACACACATTTTAAACATAATATAGCTTGTGAAGACTGGATGCAACTGGTCACCAACACTCTGAGCGCTGGATATCCGAAAAAGATCGTACATAGCTACCAGGTGGGCATGTACCCGTGCAACAACCATGGCTTGTAAAACTCATGCATAATCGTTAATTCCAAGGCTGTCTAACACTTACACCCTAGTAAATTGCTTACGTTTGTGTATGGAGCTGCCGGCCACATGCCAGGGAAGGGGGCTGCGACCAAGAGACCCCCTCGAGACGGATGAGATGGGCGCGATAACCGCACCAGATCGCCTGACCCAATGCCCTAGAACAGACCCGTGACCTGCACCAGCCAGCAACCGTGCGCGCGGCACAACTCGCCAATGCATCATTGAAACAAATGCGTCATTTTCGCTGTACCGCTGTCAAATACGAAAAGCAGCTGCAAAGAAATGTCCTAAGCTTGCACAAGCTCCACTTGACCCTGGGCGATTTGCGGTGGAGGTGCTCGTTGTGATATTTCGAGCATTGGGTGCATAACTTACACCGTGATGGAAGAGCTTACTTGTGCATCTCTCTATTTCATCGAAAAATACAAAACTGCACCGCAAGAAGATGGGGGAGTAATCATCGAAGAATTTCTGGATCAGCAGCTTGGTGCTGAATATAACCTGGACGTTACTTTTTCACCTGGTGAGCCATGTGCATCGCGATTGGCCTTATAAATTGTGTGACCATTGTCACTCAGAAAACATGATCATTTGTATCAATCCATGATTTGTCTGATCACCATGATCCTGTATGATACTAACACAGACATAGGGGCCTTGCTCCTGGCCAGTCTGCAACAAAATCCATCCACCGTACTGGACACTTATGTGACATCACCGTGTTGATCATCATACTGATCTACGCTAAACTGAGGCCAGGCGATATTATTCTAAATTTCTAAATTGTCTTTGCATGAACATAATTTCAGTGTTTTTGCCTGGAATTACCTTTGCAACATCATAGTTCCTTGGAACATTTTTATATATATGCTGGAATTGGTGGCTGTGCACACAACACTTAGTGCTTATATTTACAGTGTGCAAGTACTAAAACATTTTTCAGCACCGTTGATCTGAAGCATCTCCATGTAGTTGCGACATTGTAACCCACAATGTGTATATGCTTATTGCATGTCCCAAACAGAAATTGATGGTTTGATGTGTGCCTGATAGCATTTGTCTTTTTCAGAGTGGGAATGGTTCAATGTCAGCAGGCCCCTTGAATATGCATCTGACTTGGATGACAAGCTTGTAGTGCTTGATTTTTTCACCTACTGCTGCATCAACTGTCTTCATGTCTTGCCATCACTTCACCAGCTGGAAAGAGATCACTCCATTGAAGATGGCCTTGTTATTGTAAGTTGTTGTCTTTGTTTATTGCATGATATGCTATGTTAGAGGAAATAAGTGGCCAAATGTTCTTATGATGAAATGTGATTTTAGTTCCCAGATTGACAAGCCAGACCATTCCTGTTAATGGTTTCAGTGATGAAATAAAGGAACTATAAACAACTTGTTAAGATATTGTAAGGTCATATCTTGGTTGTATTGTTTCATTTATGGTCATTCATATCTTTATGCCTATTCTGATGCACAGATCTGCTGTCCACATATTTGTATGCTGTGAGCATCCACATGCTGTGCCTCTCCATGGTCCCCTGGACCCACAGTCAGCTGGACCAGGGGCATTCCACAGCAGGTGAGGGACTCGCGCCGCCCTCCGCGCCACCACCGGCGGCGACAGACGGAGCAGCTGTCTGACGCGCGCGTCCGGCGGCGTGACGCGGCTGGCGGCGGTGCGTCTTCGGGCCAGCGTTGTCCCGGCAGTGGCGGCCAGGACGGCGCGCGCCGCCGCCGGCCTGAAGCGGCAGGGGCTGCCGGCCAGTGCATCGGAGAGCGCATGTGGACGCGGAGATGGCGCTGACGCGGTGTCAAGCACCGGGACGCTTCTGTAACTGGCGGACAGCTTATCGGAGAGTCCGTGTGGACGCGGAGATGGCGCTGACGCGGTGTCAGGCACCGGGACGCTTCTGTAACTGGCGGACAGCTTATCGGAGAGTCCGTGTGGACGCGGAGATGGCGCTGACGCGGCGTCAAGCACCGGGACGCTTCTGTAACTGGCGGGCAGTTTATCGGAGAGCCCTTGTGGACGCGGTGATGGCGCTGAACCGGGGCGGGGCTGTAATTGGCGGCCAGCGCCTATGGACGGACGGCCGAGTTGGCCAAGTGAGGCGAACCCCGGTGCCACGAGCTCTAATGGCCGGGTCTCCGGCGGCGGCAGTGGGATTTCACCCTGGGTCGTGGTCTGAACAGCTGGCGGTTCCGGGGGGCCGGCGATAGGACCGCTGCTATCCTGTTCCTGATGCGCCGCTCGTGCCCACTGCCCGCCACTCAAATTCTGCAGAAACCTCTGTCTGATTTCCTGACTCATAGGTCCGCAAGTGTGAGCACGATCGGAACCCATTCGCCTCAGTGCGTGCTGCGTGCGTGCGTGCGTGCGTGCGTACGTGCGTGCGTGTGTGCATGCTTGTGCGTGTGCGTGTGCTCGTGCGTGTGCTCGTGCGTGTGCGTGTGATGCGGTGGGCAGGGGTGGGATGGCCCGGACCGAGCGTCCGTCGGCCGGACAGCCGTCTGCCCTGCGCTTCAGAGCGAGCCGGCGCCGGGTGCGCTGACTCGTCCCGGCCGCCGCAGGTCGGCGTCCACTCGGCCAAGTTCGAGAACGAGCGCGTGTCGTCCAACATCGCGGCGGCGCTGCAGCGGTACGACATCGCCCACCCAGTGGTCAACGACGCCCAGCTGGTGCTCTGGCGGCGGCTGGAGATCGCCTGCTGGCCCACGCTGGTCATCCTCGGTGAGCTTCCCGCGCAGCCGTGACCTGCTCCGCTGGCGCCTGGGGCTCAGAATGGTCAGGGCTGAAGTCTTCTGGATCGGGTGGATAGGCGCTGGTTTATAGAGAAGTGCTGCCAATGGTTTTTGTGAATGCAGGCCCTATGGTACCCTGGATTAGTGCCTGTGGCTGGTCTGTTGGTCTGCTGATACCAGACGCGATTGTACGGACCGCTGCACCCACGTCTTGGTAGCCGTCCTCTGGCGTCGGACTGCGACGGACGTTGCTGGGTGTGTGACGCCGCGCACCGCCCGCCTGCGCCAGGTCCGGGCTGCCGACCCCTGCTGCTGCTGGTCGGGGAGGGCCACTCGGCTCTGCTGGGCCGGTTCGTCTCGGCTGCGCTGCGCCGTCTACGCGGCCGGCTGGGCTCCGGCAGCCTGCCGCTGGCGCCGGCCGCCCGGCCGCCCGTCGCCCGCCCACTCCGCTTCCCCGGCAAGCTGTGCCGGCTGGACGCGCGCCGGCTGGTGCTCAGCGACTCCGGCCACCATCGCCTGCTGGTCACCGACAACAGCGGCGCCGTGCTGGTGCGTGCTGCTGGGCGTGCTGGTCGCCCGGCCCGCCACACCGACAGCGGTGTGCCGCGTTTCAGGAGCGCAGTTCGTCAGTCTTAATACAAACGCTTGAAGTGAAGAAATGCATCACCGCTCAGGGATAGGGAGTCTATGATGATTATGTGTGTGCGTGCGTGCGTACGTACGTGCGCGTGCGCGTGCATGTGCGCTTGCATATGTGTGTGCATATGGGCAGGGGGGGAAAGGTCCGTTTTTTAAGTAACATGTCAGGAGTGACGACAATTTTATCCTGCAGTTGGATAGGAAATACCAGATTTTTCTCCAATATTGTGGGAAAACACTGGTCCCTGGCCTCACGGCTCCAGTCCGCTTGTCGCTGCCTTCGGAGCGGCCCTACTAACATATGTGGTGTTGCCCACAAATGCGTTCTCGCCTGCAGCACGTGATCGGTGGTCCAACCGCCGGCTTCCTTGACGGCAAACTGGGCGAGTCCAAGTTCAGCAGTCCGCAGGGGGTGGCCGCAGACGGCGACGTCATCTACGTGGCGGACACGGAGAACCACGCCATCAGAAAGGTGCGTGTCCGATAGCTCGCTCGAGTTGCCGTTCCTTCCACTCCATCGCTGAAGCCCGTCGTCACAGTATCCATTGGGTCGGTCTGGTCGCGTCAAGCGCGCGCCTCTGTGAGGCCGCCGCGGGATATAGGATATGCTGGATGTCGTGATTCTCGAGCGGACCTGCCGGCGAGCCTGGCGGTGGCCCTGGTTCCCGACCGTGGCCCCTGACTCTGCGCCTCGGTGGACCCTTGGTCAGCGCCTCGAGACGCCGGCTCGTGACGGGCACCTGCTGCGCCCCAGGTGGACCTGCAGGCGGGCCTGGTGGAGACGCTGGCCGGCACCGGTCAACGGGGCGACGACCTGGAGGGCGGCGGCGTCGGCAGGGCGCAGGTGCTCGCCTCGCCCTGGGACCTCTGTCTGGTCGGTGACCGGCTCTACCTGGCCATGGCCGGCTCGCACCAGATCTGGGCCTTGTTCCTCCGCGACGGCACGCTGTTCGGCAAGCGGTGAGGCGCGGCGGGCACGGGCACGGGCACGGGCACGGGCACGGGCGCGGGCGCGGGCACGGGAACGGGAACTGTTTCGAGTACCGGGACGGGACGTATGCCGAGTCAGCAGCTGCCGTAGGACACCTGCACTCAGCCGCGACGGGTCACTGAGCCCTGCTCATGTACTCAAAACAAGGATACTCGGCTAGCGAGACTTCAGTTCGGTTCGGCTTTTGACTCGCGCCTCATCCAGCGCCGTAGGTGATGTTCTCCACTACCCTGCCCGACTTTGAACGCGTGGCATTCCATTGCGTCTGTCGGGTTCTGATCGTGTACCCCCCCCCCCCCCCCATCAGCTCTTGCCTGTTTCTGACGGCATCTCGATGTCCCCGTCTAGCTTTGACCGTGTATCCCTCCTTCACTGCCCGTGCCCGGCTCTGACCATGTACCTCTCTCCGCAGCCCCTGCCCAGCTCTGACCGTGTGCCCCTCTCCGCAGCCCCTGCCCGGCTCTGACCTCGCACCCCTTCCCCACTACTCCTGCCCGGCTCTGACCGTGTGCCCCTCTCCGCAGCCCCTGCCCGGCTTTGACTTGCACCCCTCTCCGCAGCCCCTGTCCGGCTCTGACCTCGCACCTCTTCCTCACTGCTCCTGCCCGCCTCTGACTATGTGCCCCTCTCCGCAGCCCCTGTCCGGCTTTGACCTCGCACCCCTTCATCACTGCTCCTGCCCGGCTCTGATCGCGTACCTCTCTCCGCAGCCCCTGCCCGGCGGGCACCTGTCTTCGTGTGGCCGGCTCGGGCCAGGAGGAGAACCGGAACAACTCGTACCCGCAGCGAGCGGCATTCGCGCAGCCCTCGGGCCTGACGTGGGACGCGGCCGGCGCGCGCCTCCTGGTGGCCGACAGCGAGAGCTCCAGTGTGCGCCAGGTGGCGCTGGCCGACGGCGCCGTGCGGGCCGTGGTCGGCGGCGCTCGGGACCCCACGGTACGCTGGCCGCCGGCCGGGGACGGGGGGCGGAAGGGGGCTGGGATGGGGATGTTACGGCAGCTTGTATGGCACCCTATGAGGCCATTCCGCGGTAATTGGATTGTCCCTGGACGGTAGCTAACACGTACATCGACAATGCCAACGCGACAATCACAGAATAAACTCAGACATACATGAGAGCCGATTGTTACGAAATTGCGCCGAGCGGCTCGTACTTTCGCTTGTCCAGCTTATGTCCTCGCATGCTGCTAATCGGCCTGCTGACATTGGCGGCGGGTGAGAGGCGCAGCGGGAATGCCTTAGCAGTGCCTTAATTACGTCCCAAAGCGTCACCCATGTACCATCGTCTCGTCCCGTCAGAGTCTCCTTTTCCCGAACAGGCTGCCCGTGTAAATGTTCGTCGTTTGTCGCGACAGGTGTGAATTAACCAGTGGAATATGTGCGTGCGCCAGAGCTGCTTGTGGACGTACAGATTGTGTTGTTGGAGACAGATAATCGGCGGAGGGGGAGGGGAGCCCAGACTGCACTGTCTCGGGAATAGAATCCGGGAGTTGGTCTTGGTGGCGTGAAGGGCTTAGGCGACCCTCTCCTCAACGGAGTGTTCTGGTGGGCGGTGACCGTGTGTGGGCGCGTGCACGTTTGTCTCCGGCACCCCAGCCCGTGTGACCTTCAGGCGTCGGTCGAGCCCCGCTCCCCGGCCCGTCTCACCATCCCCTCCCCCCCCCCCCTCATCGAGCGGTGCCTCGCTCCCCCGCGGTGTCTGACTCCCCAGCGCCGGCCGCTGACGGGGCCGCCTCCGTAGAACCTGTTCGAGTTCGGCGACGTGGACTCGGCGGAGGGCCCCGCGCGGCTGCAGCACCCGCTGGGCGTGGCCTGGAGCGCCGCCGACGCCGCCCTCTACGTGGCCGACACGTACAACCACAAGCTGAAGCTGGTGCTGGCTGACGGACGGGGTTTCAGCTGCCGCACGCTGGCCGGCTCGAGCCGCGGAGACCAGACTGGACCGCTGCTGGAGGCCCAGGTAAGCGTGCCGGCCGCCGGCGCCGACGCCGGGAACTAGTGGGCTGGTGGGACGAACGTCACACCCATCGTCACACCCACATCGTCCCTCCCCCTTGGGGGGGGGGACGGATGATGTTGATATGAGAGTGGTAGGATTGGCGAAATGGCCGGTTTTGCAGTACTTTTTGTAATGCTTTCTACGGAATGTAGTGGCATTGCACCGCAGCAATTGCGGTTAGTTTGTTGGTAGTTGTGGAATGCACAAAATCTACACCTAGTTTACCCGTAAATGTCGCAGTGGGGGGCAAATCGGTGGTATTGGACGTGGTATACTGCCTGATTCAGGCGACGAATCGCTCGTAAACTAGAGTCTGAGCTGATGTGGCATGTCGGGCGTGATTTGTGGACATGCGTTTTGTCAGGTGCTTTGACTTTGCGTGATCGATCGCATACAAACGTAAACAAAAAGCTACTATTCCTGGTTTGGCTGACAGCCGTCGATTGCTGCGTTATCTGAATAACATACCGCGCAGACTTCTGATGACGCGACGTTGACCTGTCCTCCATCTGCCAGCCATTACAGACCAGCCATCGCCAGGCTGGTCTGTCTGTCTGGCGTTGCTCAGACACCTGTTGTATTGTGCCTTCCGAAGCCGCGTCGTGTCGCCGTCATGCAGCCGCGCTGTTCCGTCCCCAGTTTAACGAACCGGGCGGCCTGCTGGCGGAGCCCGCCGGCGATCAGCTGCTGGTGGCCGACACAAACAACCACTGCATCAAGCGGGTGGACCTGGCGGCCGGCACCGTCGACGAGGTACGCGTACCAGGCAGCCCCGCGACGCTGCAGGCCCACGCCGCTGCCGACCCCGCGCCGCTGCCGGCCCGTGCCGGTGCCGGCCCACGTCGCTGCCGACCCCGCGCCGCTGCCGACCCCGCGCCGCTGCCGGCCCGCGCCGCTGCCGACCCCGCGCCGCTGCCAGCCCCGCGCAGCTGATGTCTCACCGGGGCAGGAAGGGCGGGCGCTGAGGGCAGTAGTACCCGTGCCCCTGACGTCCCCCCCCCCCCAACTTGTATCGAAAATACTGCGCCACGGACGCTCCGACCTTTTGCTGGTGCGCCACGTGCGAATTTCTTGGTCATCAGAATCTGTATTTTTGTTGCCTGTGGTTGGCCGCTTTCTTCCCGTTGTCTAGTGTCGTCGGTGATACGTGCGCCTGCTGGATGGTTCATTCACGCACTGTAGCAAATGACATGGGTTGCTTAGATGACGCTGATTTCGCATGGAACTTCCGTGTCTGCGTACTTCTATCAAGCAAAGTAGGTAGAAGCTGCCTCGCTCGCAAAACTCTGTGAACCTCTAGGTAAACATGCCAGGTATGCAGACGTGGCATGGCCACCTTATGTCTATCGCCAACGTCGTCAGTCACATGCGCGTATGCGCTTGCGTATGACCTGGTGTGTGATCGTGGCTTTTGTGTTTCAGCTTGATGTCCGGATGACGCGGGATTCACCAGATCGGCCTACCCAGGCTGTCACATCGTCCGCAACGGTGCGATCAGCCGGTGGCGCCATCTCTTTAAGTCTAGAGGTACTGCTGTCTGGTGTGTCCCTGACAGAAGGCGCTCCGCACAGCTGGCGACTGGACCAGTTACGTGAGTATATGACGAGGAGAAGTATGAGCAAATGCAATACTGCGCTCCTACCTGACAATGCTGTCAAATATCTTACTTAGTCACTTTGTGAGTGCTCTGACCGGGTGCGTGAGCGGTGTGTGACCTGACCTTGTCCGCGCTCTGCAGCCTCCGGCTGGTCGGCAGCGCCACCCGGCCCGTTCTCTGTACCGCTGACTGTGCAGCTGCACGCGCCGCCGCTGCGCTCGGGGGACGCCGTCCGACTCCGCCTGCACGCACAGCTCTTCCTGTGCTCGCCGGCCGGCCTGTGCTTCCCGCGCGAGCTGACGTTCGAGCTGCTGGTGGAGGGCGACGAGCAGGCGCCGGCCGACGCGGCGGCGGCGCTGCGCTGCCGGCTGGAGGCCGCAGAGCTGGGCGTCTGAGTCCGCCCCGTCGGCGCGCCGGCCGGCCGAGGGTGGCGTCCGTCTCGCGGGCCCTGGCCGGCCCCTCAGCCCTGGCCGGCGGCCGCGGTTCGCGTCTCTGCGGATGGGTGCCGTACACTCCGAAGCGTATGTGTTATCAGGATGCTCGCTGTCAAGCTGATGCACCCATATGCCCATATTTTGTACTGTCATTCCGATGCGTAGTCCAATAACTAATGGCCTCTTGTTAGTTGTTACGGAGTGTTTGAATTTTAGGTCGTGCTCCCATGCTTGATGCTTTTTTACTGATCCCGTGATCACGGTTCTTAACGGTTGGTGGAAGTAACAGACGTCGTATTGCGTACCGTTGCATGGCACGTTGTGTCTGGAGTCGCGTTGAGTCAGTCTTGGTAGAATGTTCAGCTAACACTGCCTACTGCGCGAGAAAGTGTGGATCAATTTGACCAGAATGAAACCTTAACGATCTTCTACAATACATTGACTACTTGTGCCTTCGTCTTCGTTTTAATGTTTTTTATGACATGTTATCCAGGAACGATACTTTCCTAAGAACTGGTTGTGAGAAAGCTTTAAGTGAATGTTCTTGATTTGAAGATATTGAATCAAGCGTCAGGTATGATGAAATAGGCTCGCTTATAACTATCGATATTCTTTTAAGTGGAAAGACTCCTCTTGGCAACGCGATTTCTCTGTTTGGCAATAAATATGCTCCTCAACACGCCATTGTTTGCGTGATCGTACCTTGCGCAACACTGATTGAGAGCCAAGTGTTGGCCGTTATGTCTGGAAATCGCGCTCACGAAGGCCAGGTATGAATGACTTCACAATTATGTTTCCCTTTGCCGTGATTGCCACATGGCTAATGAAGTGACTTGATTTGAGTGGCGTGATTATGGCATTGTGGATGCCTGGGTGACTGAAATACTCTTCCCAAAAAAGTCTTCGCGGGCACGTAGCTCAGAAACTAGAGGGGTTTAGGTCTTAAGGAGGGCAGGGCCGTGAACTGCGTCGAATGATCTTCAAGGCGTCTATTTCAGTTCAAAAGTCCATACACATCGATCACTCCTGTCAAACAGAAGATGCATTTTACCTTCCGACGGCATTCTTTCCATGCATCGCCATAGGCCTTACGTTGAAATATTGAGTTAAAATAAGGTAATAATAAAATATAATATATATATATATATATATATAATAAAATGCAATAAAAATAAAATAATAAAAAATAAGAGGGGAAAAGGGGGTACGCATGGTGCCTCAAACGTCCACAGTTACACACCGGGTGTCTCTTCTTCCCACGGCTTTGATCACAATACAATTAATTATTCTTTCTCCTTTTAAACGGCCACAATACCATAACGTTTCACGATGTCTCTGCCTGATTGGTCGCCAAATGAGCCCTGCTGGTACGGTTCCGGGACCATCATTTCTTTGGCTGTAATGTGTTTGGGGGACGGGGGCGGCACAGTTGATAAAACAACACAACTACGGTGCGGATTGAGGTTAAGCTGCCGGCTCAGTGTTTCGTCGACTACGGAAACCGGCGAGGCTGGTTGTTGGGGTGAGTTATTAAAGAAATTGGTTGCGTTGCTAATTATCCCAGACAAGTTATTTGTGACATTTTTGCGCTGCGAATGCTGAGCTTATGTGGATCATGCTTCAGGTGCCTTTCGTTCATCGGTATTGCGCATTCTTGCCAATGATTACATGCGTAACGAAAAGGCCCTCCTCATCGGCTGGTGAGAATGTTCTCTTTCGGCTTACTGTAAGCGGCCTGCCTTCACAAAGCCTTGTTGACAATACTCCAGCAATTGAGAGGCTTTGAGACACGATGTCAATTGAAACACCATGCTACCGGCCGCCAGCCACAGCCTGATATCTCCCGTAGTCTGCACTCACGCGTGCCTTGCTAATGGTTGTCCAACTGCTCAGTTGTCCGCCAGGTGCTCCATTACCGAGTCAGAACGTCCTGAGCTCACCCCGCTTTACCCGCTCTTCCGCGCCCCGCCAGCCAGGCCGTCCACGCGAGTATTTTATTACAGCTACGGCTAGACATACATACGGTGGATGCTGACTACATCGACTCTAGCGCACGGCGAGCGAGCCGGGGGGAGGGGCGGGCGGGCGCCGCGCTCACCCGCCCTCTCCCCGGCCTTAAATATAAAAACACTGTTAGACTGACGAAGGTAGCTGTCGACACTGGCGCCGCGGCCTCGGGCCCACGGCCCGGGACACGTCCTCCGAGAGGAGCCGAGCCGCGCGTACCGTGTCCTCCGAGAGAGGCCAAGCCGCGCATACTGTGTCCTCCGAGAGGACACGTTCGCGGAACGAGCCGCACACACCACGTCCTCCGAGAACAGAGGCTCGTGGGACGAGCCGTGCGCACGGCCGTCATCGGGAGGCGGCCAGGTAAGCGCGCCGCGCGAGGCGTCAACGCTCTCCAGAGGCTTACCGAGAGCGCCTTATGACGAGAACATTGTTTACGGCGTCCCATGTGGCAGGCCAGTGGCCTCTGAAGAGCACTCGGTCCCAGTTCTTCCCCACGGAGCCTCCGAGGAGCACTCTGATCTCTGTTCTTTCCAATGGTGGCATCTGAGGAGCACTCTGCCCTCAGTTCTTTCCCATGCGGCCACGTGCGAGGGAGTTCTGAAGATCTTCCGAGGAGCACCCAGCACGGGCAATGGGCAGGCGCCAGCATGCGTGACAGCAGGCTAGTGGATCCGATCTTAAAGCTGAAAATTGCAATGCACAGCTGCTTGTCCGAGCTGGTGGCACCGGGGACAAAGGCGCGCGCGCGCACGATAAATATCCAATTTGAACGATTGCCTCAGCTGCTCCGAGTTTGGCACACGTACACGGAAAGGGCCGCGGCGCCGCGCACACCCAACACGTAGGAGAGAGTTAATATCATCGGGCACGCCGCCGAGACGCGGGCCGCCGGCCGGCGCCGGCGCGGCCCGCACTGCCGGCCCGTCGGCAGGTGGCGCCGCTCGGCCGGGCGCCGGACGCCCCGCCCTGCTCGGCCATAGCCCGTCCGACCGCCGGCCACGCCTACTGGCACTTCTTCCGCCGGCGGCAGCGGCACTTGCGCGCCACCGGCACCACCTTGCGGTAGCGCGTGCCGTCGTTGCAGATGAAGCTGACGCGCCGCTGGCGCACGCGGCGCGGCTGGCAGCAGTCGCGCCCGCAGCTGCCGACGCAGCGCGCCTGGCGCACCGGCCGCCGGGAGCGGCAGCCGTTCTCGCGGATGTAGTCGCGGTTCTGCTCGCGGCGGCAGCGTGGCGCTGACGACAGACGGGCCGACGGGTCAGCAGGCGACGCGGCGGTGGCGGCCGTGACGGCGGCGCTCCGCTTGTGAGAGGTTATGTCAGCTGCCGTCGACATTGAAATAACGCCAACTCCGAGCGCGGTGTGCATGATTCTTTTTCTCCAACAGATAGTCCCCCACGTCCATATGGTCCATATGGTGGTCCATATCGTCCATATGGTCCTTATATATATATATATATATATATATATATATATACATATACATATATATACATATATATACATATGTATATACATATATATACATATATATATATATATATATATAATACATGATACATAATACATAATACTCATGTTCTTTGCAGTTGGATGTTCTGATGATTAAGGCTATGATTGCGGATAATTAAGGGCAAATTTCGGTCTTCATCGTTTTCTACAGAGGTGGTCGAAGACCGAAACGTTCACAAAAAGGGTGTCACTGAGTTAAACACGATTGGCTTTGACAGCAATTACGCATATCTACTTCCTTTACAAAACGATAGAAATGTCTTGATATTAGCAGACGACCAGCCGTGACCATCCGCCGGAGTAAGAGGTTTACCTCTGTCGCAAAGTTTTCCGCTCCACCCTCGCTTGCACTTGCATCGGTATGTGTTGCTGGACTTATTGGGAACACAGCGTCCCCTCTTGCATCTGCGAGAAGGGGGAATATGAAAACCGCGGACTAAATACGGATGACAAGTCAAGCACATGTTTTTAAATCGCCAAAACATCTGTAAGTTCAACTCTGGGAATCTGGCCATATTGTTGATTGATTGCCAAGTTTACTAAGTGCGACCCACACGACAACCTGCTCTCTTTCAAAGCGCGGACGTCAATCCCCGCGCTGCCTCATACACCAATCAAAGCACATCCCCCGCCGATTCCCCCCCCCCCCCCTCCCCCACGCCCGTTCATCCCCGTACCTGGCCGCGTGGCGGCCGGTCAGCGGCAGCACGTACTCGTTGTCGGCGCAGAGGTCGCTCGTCTGCTCATCGCGCGGCTGCTGGATGCCGCCGCAGCCGGGCGTCACCTTGTGCCGCTGGCTGGCCCGCTGGAAGTCGATCCAGCGGTCGTCCACGTACAGCGCCGTCAGACACCCTGGCGGCGCCCGGCGAAACCATGGTCAGCGGCGGCGAGTCGGGAGCATCAAACAGAAGAAGCATGTAGGGGCATGAACACACGAGCAAACCAAACACAGCGGACAATGTCAGCTGTGTTTGATATGTTCTATGATAACATAGGATATACATGGGACATTGGACAGTGGACGTACATAGGACATTCCGCTGACGGAAGCGGGTGGCTTATTGAGACACTCATTTAATCAATACTAAGTGCTCGAAAGATAACTAAGACCTTGCCTTTAATTGTTAAATCGTATTACCGGAGCCAAGGCAACCTTCTAGTAGGAAGATTACATGCGCTATCGTCGGCGTCGCCTTACGCAAAGCGAGCGGCGAGCCCCCGCCACCCCGCCCTCCTCCACAGCCGGCATCTGCCGGCCGTACAGCGCACCTCTGAAGCTGGTGGTGTTGCGCAGCTGCCAGTGGCGCACGGCGAAGGTGCCCTTCTCGGGCGGCAGGCCTCCGATGAAGAGCGGCGCGGCGGGATCGAGCGCGCCGCGCTCGGACGGGTTCACGATCGGCCGCGTCAGGCCGCCGTCGACGCGGAACGTGAAGTTGGCGCCGTCGGTGAGCATCTCCACCTTGTGCGGCCGGCCGTCGGAGAGTACCTGGTGCCGGGAAGCGGTGGCGGTCAGGACCTCGGCCCGGCGGGGGAGGACGGACGAGCGGGTCACAGACGAAAGCAGCGGCGCGGCAAGCCGCGAGGTCTTGACGTCTGGCCCACACCGTGCCCCAGTGACTAGCTAAGATATAAGTGCAGATTCGCGAACCCATCAACATCCGTAACTTTCGATACATTGGTCTCCAAATGGCCCGAAGTTGGCTCAATCTTTCAAGACACCACCCCACATTACCCTTACTCCGCCACCACCACCGCCGTGTTCCCCACATCCCGCGTGTACTCTCACCCCGAGACTGAACATGGTGTAGCCGGGCGAGTTGCCGAGGTCGTAGCTCACGCGCAGCCGGCCCTTGAACAGCTCCACGGCCAGGTGCTCGCGGCCGCCGCGGTACACCACGACGCCGTTCTTCTGTCGGCTGCGCAGCAGCACCGTCACGTTGCTGTGCTGCGTCGACTTGGGCGGGTCCAGCTCCACGTAGGCGTCCGCGTGCGCGAACGTCAGGCTGGTCAGGTGCTCACAGTATTTGCCTGCGGGTGAGGTCAGCACGCGGGTCAGGAGCGGGCGCCTGGCTGGGGCGCCCGCCTGTATATCGGACGGTGCATGCCCGATTCTCGCCTCAGGAAAGTTGATCTGACGCCGTTGCTAAGAGATCTTGCTTGCGAACTGCAAGAGAACTCAATAGATGAATTAAAAAAGTCGGGACAGTCCTTTCCAGAATTGAATCCAACCTCCTCAACGCAGACGACACACCATCGCGGCGAAGCATCGCTCGGTGCCCCAATGTTTCGCCGGGCTCTGCCGCAGACAGACACACGCCGCCGGCGCCGCTCGCCGACCGCAGCGCACCTGTGTAGCCCTCTTGGCAGCGGCAGCGGTACTCCTGCGAGTCGCGCGGCAGGAAGCATGCGCCGTGCTTGCACTCGTTCTGCTGGCACGGTGACGTCTGCTGCATGAGCGCAATCGACGGGCCCTGCTCGCAGAACTGGCCGGCGAACCCGGCCGCGCACCGGCAGGAGTAGCTGTCGGCGCCGTCCACGCAGGTGGCGCCGTTCTGCGGACGGAGCGGGAAGCACGGCTCAGTCGGCGGCGGGCAGGGAGTGGCGTGAGCGCAGGTCGGCAGGCGCTGCGGAGCTCACCCTACAAAGCCTGGTGGGAGAAGTCGGACGGGAGCACCACAACCAACATTTTGAGAATACAACGGCATACGCGAGGCACTAATCGGCAAGTGATAATTTTCGACGCTCGTTACTTTTTCCAAATTTTCTGCCGGGCACATAACCTGTGTGGTGATCGACACTTGAAGAAATTCGTTATAAATGATTCATAAGTGTAACTGTATCATCCCTCAGTGTGTTGATGCTGCCTTTACAACTTCCCTCAACCCAAAACATTTGCGAGGAGGAAGACGAGGAGGACGGCCCATTCTCACCTGACAGAGACTGCTGGCGCAATTGTTCACGTTGTCGGTGCAGTTCTTTCCCGATATGCCCGGCGGGCAGGTGCAAGTGTAGTCTGTAGACTTGTCATTGCACGTGGAGCCGGCGGCGCAGGGGTTATACACCGTGCAGAACTCGATACGACGCTCGCAGAACTCCCCTGCATAGGCAGACAAAGACTTAGCACTATACCTAATAGCATCGTCAGATCGGAGCGCAGTGCAGTACGTGTTTGACACGTACGCCAGATGCATGAAATTGCACTGTGTCAAGCTTTTGCACGGTCCGGTCACGGTCCGGTCAGAGGGGGAAGGGGGGGGGGGGTAGCCGTCACTTTCCCTACCGGCCGCGCGAACACACGTGACCATCCCTGCCTGACGATCATACACATCTGGCGCCCCCAACGCCAATGCCCGCATCCCCCACTTGTAACACACATCGACTGTGTCATCCATCCGTGACCTCCCGACGCTCATCACTCAGCGCGCTCGTGATTCTCACTGACACAAAGGGCATTCGTCGTCTAGTAGAACACATCCCGCCACAGTGTCCCTCTCCCACGACGGCCGACCGGGCCGCCTCGGCGCGGCGGCCGGCGGCGACTGACCGGTGTAGCCGGGCTGGCAGCGGCACCAGTACCGGCCCACGCCGTCCTGACACTGGCCGTGCTCCGAGCACCGGTAGCCGGCGCAGTCAGACACCCTCCCCCCCCCCCCCCCCGCCCCGGCGCGGCGGCCGACAGCGACTGACCGGTGTAGCCGGGCTGGCAGCGGCACCAGTACCGGTCCACGCCGTGCTGACACTGGTCTGACACTCCAGCACCGGTGACCGGAGCAGTCGGACCCCCCTCCCCTCCCACCCCGGCGCGGCGGTCGGCAGTGACTGACCGGTGTAGCCGGGCTGGCAGCGGCACCAGTACCGGCCCACGCCGTCCTGACACCGGTCTGACACTCCAGCACCGGTGACCGGCGCAGTCGAACCCCCCTCCCCTCCCGCCCCGGCGCGGCGGCAGGCAGCGACTGACCGGTGTAGCCGGGCTGACAGCGGCACCAGTACCGGCCCACACCGTCCTGACACTGGCCGTGCTCCGAGCACCGGTAGCCGGCGCAGTCAGACACCTCCCCCCCCCCCCCGCCCCTGCGCGCGGCCGACACGACTGACCGTTTACGCCGGGCTGGCAGCGGCACCAGTACCGGCCCACGCCGTCCTGACACTGGTCTGGCACTCAAGCACCGGTGACCGGCGCAGTCGGAACCCCCTCCCCTCCCGCCTCGGTGCGGCGGTCGGCAGCGACTGACCGGTGTAGCCAGGCTGGCAGCGGCACCAGTAGCGGCCCACGCCGTCCTGACACTGGCCGTGCTCCGAGCACCGGTGGCCGGCGCAGTCGTCCACGTTCACCTCGCAGTGCGTGCCCGAGAAGCCGTCCGGACAATGGCAGCTGCGAACGCCGGCCGACGCCGGTCAGCGGGGAGCGGGTACGTGGCGGGGTGGAGTGGGAGACGAGTGGCAAGGTCACATGACGAGACGGGTCCACTGTGGAGTGGTGAGGGAAGAGGGCGCGGTCATGTGACGAGACGGGTCTGGGGTGAAGCCGGTGTGCGGCTGAGTAGAGTGGGAGATGAAGGGGCACAGTCACACGAGACGGGTCAGGGGTGTGGCGGGCGCGTGGTGGAGCGAGTTGGGAGGGGAGGGGCGCAGCCACGTGACAAAACGAACAACGGCCACGGAACACTCGAGAACATCTCCGAATAAAAGACGAATCGAGGGGTCTGAGCCGCAAAGAATGACACAACAACCTGAGAGAGTCAAACCCAGCACATGGGTCCCCCGGCGGAAAAAAAAACAGATCATCGTACGGCAGTTCCCAAAAGTATATCAACTTCGTTACATAATGTTCACACGAATAGCAAGACGTCCCGCTTCAGAACGAAGATCACATCGAACGTCTTAATGTTGAGCGCTACACCACATCAGAGCCATTCGAGAAGCTCGAACCGGCCGGCACCAGCCAGGCGGATGCGTCTCCCCACAGGACCAGATCACGTCCCCGCGTGACCGTCGCGGCCGCGGCCCGCCGGTCGTACCTGTAGCGGCCCTCCTGCACCACCTTGCAGGTGCCGCCGTTGGCACAGGGCGTGCCGTAGCAGGCGTTGATGGTCTGCTCGCACGTGTCGCCGTAGAAGCCGAGGGCGCAGCGGCAGGTGAAGGTGCGTGCGCGGCCGGCCCGGCACTGGCCGCCGTTACGGCACGGCTGGGCGTGACACACGTCACACTTGGCCAAGATGGCGTCCGGCACGGGCCCGCCTGCCGGCGACGGCGGCACGGTCAGCACCACGGCACGTGCTGGGCAATGGCGGCTCTTGGCCGACCCGGACGGCGAGTGACAGACGGGATGGCGATTGGGGGGGGGGGGGGGAGGGGAACCAGTGGGCTTGCCATGAGCCATGCCTTCCTTAATGCGGTCAGAGGACAGGCTGGCTTTAGGATAGCACACCACGGACGCTCTTGATGGGAAGCCATCAGAAGCGTCCTTGGCCTGTTATCCTACAGCAAGCCGCGGAGCACGCTCACACGTCACGCCACGCACCGGTGCAGACGAACTCGTCCTGCTTCGAAGTGAGCACCAGCTTGTTGCTCATGCGGGCGGGCGCCGAGCAGCGAGCGATGCCCGGCTCGCGGAAGTCCTTCTTCACCCAGGCGGCCAGCCAGCGCAGCTTGCAGTCGCAGTACAGCGGGTTCGACCCCAGCGCTCTGTGGCGGAAGAGGGACCACTTAGTCTATGGGGGCAATCTGTGACCAGGCAGGGACAAGTAACTGCGTAGGATCCGACCGAACCCGATCCAGATCTGATCCGGATCCGGTCAGAGGCGGCCGGCATCGGTACAGACTACGGGGAGCTTTATCAATGAAACGAGCTCGGGATGACAGGTAGTCAGTTGGAACATGGCGCGTAGAGGCTGACACCACATGAACTGGGTCTATAACGGCAAAGACCGGGCGCCGCGTTTCCTAAGTCTTGAGCAGCTTCAAAGACGAGCCTCGCTCCAGGTTCGTGGACGACGGTGGCTGACGGACGTCTAATAAGCGCCCATGGGACCATGCCAGTGAGTAACATGTGAGTGATGCGACACGCGTCAGCGGCTCACATGTGGGTGATGTAACACACATCAGCGGCTCACGTGTGGGTGATGTAACACACATCAGCGGCTCACATGTGGGTGATGGCCGTCAACGGACTGAACGAGCCGTCTGGGATGCGCGACAGCTGGTTGCCATGGAGACTGAGGATGCGCAGTGAGTTGAGACCGCGCAGCGCGCCAGACTCCAGGCACTGCAGCTGGTTATAGCTGATGATCCTGAGAAGGCGGGTGGCGTAAGAGTTGAGGTAGAAACTCTGTTTCATCAGAGAGATACGAGCCGACTGCTCTGTGCTTGCAAGGCCAGTAAGCATGAAATAGTGGCGCGTATCTTAACAATTGTAGAAATACTGCAGGATACAACTGCAGCGAGAAGCTAATGAACATATCATTTTTTCAACCCATCTGAGCTCCCAATCACACAGAGGGATGACTTAATTCAATAACTGCAGAAGAGTAGGCAGCTGGTGGGTCAGGTGAAGTCAGAGAGTCTCGATGCTGGTGTACTTACAGCGTCTCCAGGCTGCTCAGCTGGGCAAAGGTATCGTTCTCGACGGTGGCGATCTGGTTGTTGCTGAGGTCCAGCCGCCTCAGTGCACGCAGATGACGTAGGTCTGATGACGTCACGCTGACCAGCTGATTGACGTCAAGGTAACTGGGGGGCCAGGGCAGTTCGTGCTCGAAAAGCTCCCGCGGCTCGCAACATTCAGCGTATGGAGGCTTGGAATGCCATGTTTGGTTCGCCGTTTATCGCAAACAGAACCCACAAACCAGGTTTACAAGGCTGGGCAGGGCTGAAGGAAGAAGACAAACCGTGTTTTAAACAAGGCTGAACCAGGAGCGCTTCTGCCCCGGCATTACGTGGTTGGTTTGTTTAAATCTTCCGATAAAAACGATACGCCAAAACGGATATGTGAGCACCGATAATTTTTCACTCGGACCAGGGTATTCGCAATAAGTTTAGATCACACAAGAGTTGGGATCCTTAAGCTCTGCCCACAAAACACTCCGTCAGCTGTTTAAAACACAAATATTGAAACAATGCAGTGCGTGCCTGCACCAAAACACCTTAACTATTCGAAATCAGCCGTGGCAGTGCTCTGCCGATGTCGCCGTCGGCCAACGCCAATCGTTGGTGGTCCGCCATCGCCCGCGGCAGCAGTAACCGGCGGGAGAGGCCCTGGTGTCCGCCGACCCGGGCCCCAGCAGCCGACGGGAGAGGCCCCGTTGTCCGCCGCCTCACGGCCCCGATGGCCAGCAGAAGAGGCCCCTAGAGAGCCCCCCGTGTCCGCAGCCCTGCGGCCCCAGTAACAGGTGGGAGAGGCCCCGGTGTCCGCCGCCTCACGGTCCCGGTAGCCGGCGGGAGGGACTCACAGCTCGGTGGTGCGGCTGGAGATGCCGCCGGGCACGTGCGCCAGCTGGGCGCGGCTGCAGCGGACCACTGTGCCGACGCACTTGCAGCCCCGCGGGCAGTAGTTGGTGGCCGGGCAGCCGGCCTGCTCCCTGCCGTCGGCTCCTGGCCGGCGGGGGCGGCAGTCAGGACAGGGGGTGAGGGGGGCGGCGCCGGCCCACTCAGGCATGACTCCAGCTCTTTCAGTCGAGGTCCGACAGCTAGGTACGATACGGAGGACTAGGATGCTGTGAGCACGACCTTCGCTTTTACACAGCACGAGGGAAACAATGTGAAGAAGCAAAAAGTAGACGGGAGAGTAAAAAGAGGTTCTAAAAAGAAGTGGCAAGAAAAGAAAACACAGATAGCGCAAAACGAAGGCCCATTAGGGAAAACATTTGCACAGGCTTCCTGGGTCTAATGCTCGGGACGTCCGATCCAAACACGGACATAGCAACAAAGAGTGTTCACCTTCTCTCTCCACCAGGGTTCCAAAGCCAGATGCAGTGAGGCACCCAGCGCAGGGCGAGACCCACCTTCACACTGGAAGTCGGCCGGGACCAGACGCGTGAGCGGCTTGCGCCGCAGCCGATCGGGAAGCTCGCAGGTGGGCGCTCCCACCTGGAGGTCCCCCTCCAGTTGCTCCCGCAGCCACTGCGTCATCCAACGCAGCCGGCAATTGCAGGCCAGCGGATTCGACTGCAGGTCGCTGCGGTGACGGGCGAGAGGTTGGCACGGGGCAGCTGGCTGGCCCGTCGTCGGGCTTCGGCGCGGCTTGCGATTTTTCCAGACTGCGTGACTTAACTTTGAATGCCCGACGACTGTTTAATGGTCCCTATGTGACTTGCCCCTGTATCATCTGGTATGTGAAGCGTGCACATCATAGTACTCTAAAGCGCATTTTACTCACAACCAGTCATTATCCTTATCAGCGAGAGGAATCCAGTCCAAGACGCAACGCAAATTGATCCAAGAATAGATTGGCAAAAACTAATGGCCGACCAGCCTGCCGCCTCGTCACTCACAAGGTCTCCAGCTTGCCCATGTGCCTGAACGCGTCGCGCTCCACGCAGCTGATCTTGTTATGGTTGAGCGCCAGCAGGCGCAGCTTGCTCAGACCGCTGAACGTGCCCAGCCTGATGCGAGTCAGCTCGTTCTCCGACAATATTCTGAAACGCGGGCGGACACGCCGGCTATTAGACCGGTGCGAAGTCACGCAGCGAAGGGAATGGGACGAAACGACCGGTCAGCAGGGCCGGAACACACGCACCGCACAGGGATCTCCCAGCAAGCCGAAAAAGTTGAGGCATTAGGAAAGTCCTGGTTCAGCCGGGCCACGATGCGTGCATCTCATGGTAAAAAAAAAATGGACAGTAAGCAACAGGCCTGAGCACATCTAGTCCGCCAAGCTGCTATAGTTAATGACCATGAATTATTAACTTGAATGACATGCGCGAGTTACTTCAGAGCCAGATATACTCACAGCTCCTCCAGGGATTGAAGGGAACTGAACGCTCCGTCCTCGATGCTCTCGATCAAGTTGACGCCCAGGTTGATCTTTCTCAAAGACCTCAGCGATGAAAAAACCGGCAGCGCTCTCACCCGGGAGATTTCGTTGCTGCTCAAGATCCTGAAAAAGACAGCCGAGGAGAATTTAGTTCGGCTTCGCTGAGCCAGGTCACCGAGATCGCCGTGTGATGGAGAGAGGGGGAGGAGGGGAGGAGAGCAAGGGGACTGAGGACACGGCGCGGAGCGCGCTGCGGTGCCCTTACCTTGGCGCCCCCCCCCCCTCCCCCACCGCGGCCGACGGACGGGCACTCACAGCTCGGTGGTGTGTTCAGGGCCTGCCCTCCCTTTCTCACGGCCGACGGGAGGGGAATCACATCTTGGTGGTGGTACTAGGGGTTGTCCCCCCCCCCCCTCCCGTTCCCCCGGCCGACAAACGGGCACTCACAGCTCGGTGGTGCTGCTCGAGCTTGCCCCCTCCCTTCCTTGCCGCCGACAGACGGACACTCACAGCTCGGTGGTGGTGCTCGGGCCTGCTCCGCCGCCGACAGACGGGCACTCATAGCTCGGTGGTTATGCTCGCGGCCTGCCCATCCCCCGCGGCCGTCGACAGACGGACACTCAAAGCTCGACGGTGGCGCTCGGGCCTGCCCGCCCCCTCCCTCGCGACCGACAGAAGGGGAATCACAGCTCGGTAGTGGTGCTCGGGCCTGTCCCCCCCCCCCACCCCGCCGCCGACAGACGGACACTCACAGCTCGGTAGTGGTGCTCGGGCTGGCCTCCCCTCCCCTCCCCCCCCCCCGCCGACAGACGGACACTCACAGCTCGGTAGTGGTGCTCGGGGCTGGCCTCCCCTCCCCCGCCGACAGACGGACACTCACAGCTCGGTAGTGGTGCTCGGGGCTGTCCTCCCCCCCCCCCCCCCCCCCCCGCCGACAGACGGACACTCACAGCTCGGTGGTGGTGCTCGGGGCTGTCCTCCCCTCCCCCCCCCCCGCCGACAGACGGACACTCACAGCTCGGTAGTGGTGCTCGGGGCTGTCCTCCCCTCCCCCGCCGCCGACAGACGGACACTCACAGCTCGGTAGTGGTGCTCGGGCCTGTCCCCCCCCCCCCGCCGACAGACGGACACTCACAGCTCGGTGGTGGTGCTCGGGGCTGTCCTCCCCTCCCCCCCCCGCCGACAGACGGACACTCACAGCTCGGTAGTGGTGCCGGGGGCCGGCCTCCCCTCCCCCCCCCCCCCGCCGACAGACGGACACTCACAGCTCGGTAGTGGTGCTCGGGGCTGGCCCTCCCCTCCCCGCCGCCGACAGACGGACACTCACAGCTCGGTAGTGGTGCCGGGGCTGGCCTCCCTCCCCCCGCTGCCGACAGACGGACACTCACAGCTCGTAGTGGTGCTCGGGGCTGGCCTCCCCTCCCCCGCCGACAGAGCGACACTCACAGCTCGGTAGTGGTGCCGGGGCTGGCCTCCCCACCCCCCCGCCGCCGACAGACGGACACTCACAGCTCGGTAGTGGTGCTCGGGGCTGTCCCTCCCCTCCCCCCGCCGCCGACAGACGGACACTCACAGCTCGGTAGTGGTGCTCGGGCCTGTCCTCCCCTCCCCCCCCCCCCCCCGCCGACAGACGGACACTCACAGCTCCGGTAGTGGTGCTCGGGCCTGGCCTCCCCTCCTCCCCCCCCCCCGCCGACAGACGGACCACTCACAGCTCGGTAGTGGTGCTCGGGCCTGGCCTCCCTCCCCCCCCCCCCCCGCCGACAGAGGGACACTCACAGCTCAGTGGTGGTGCTCGGGATGTGCTCGGGGACGGCCTTGAGGGCGCGGCCCGAGCAGTCGACCGTGGTGCCCTCGCAGACGCACCGCTCCGGACACTCGACTGTCTTCAGCAGACACTCGTGGTAGACAGCAGGCTCACCCTTGCCGCCTGGAAAGTCGTGCAGACCGACCGCGTCAGGTCTTTGGACAGATTCGGCAGGCCGGCGGTATCGGTGTTTCTGAGACCAAGCGCGAGCCAATGCCTCGTTTTATCAAAAGGAAGAAAAGGGCACTCATCAGCCGTACGGCTGTGTTCATGATCAATACGCTTCTAGAATATGAATGTTGTGGCCAGAAGGCATATAGCATGGAAAACCCGAGCTGAGGGTGCCATGAAGTAATGGATTATAGGGTCTAATAATGCCTTGTAACGGGGAAAACTAATTAGGTTGCACGATTTGTTTGCAAAACAATAACATGAATCAGTGAACATCGACCATTCGCCGACACCTATCGGTGATTAAAACGGGCCTGTATCTAATGGGAAGCGACGGTAAAGGAAATCAATTATGTCCGCTATGATCAATGCGACCACATTCCGTGTCAGCTGGTGCTGGCAGCTGACACGGGGAAGATGCCAGCAACATGAACAAAGCGGGAGTTACGAATTACGGGCGGACGAGAATGTCATGCATGATGAGAAACTGATCCGGTGTAATAATGCAATTTTGAAAAGAAAATAACCTGTCGAATACTTTTTGCACGCATGCAGTGGGCACTGGCATGGGCATGGGCACTGGCACGCATGCAGTGGGCACCCCAATGCTGATCACAATGGCGTGACGCCAATACAGAATATTCGTCAGGCACAACTACGGTGCCACGGAAACATAACCCTTCCCGTCAAACGGAAAATTATAATCTACCCAAAGACATCGATAAGCATAGATATATAACCTTCGCACGTTATGGACATGGGGTTTTAGCGAAACATTCCAGCACAACGCGTGGCCGGTTTCACCAATGTTGGGCATCCCAATCCATACAACACTTCCGACACCGGACACTGGATGGGGAATCCAATCCGACACCAACATGACAAAGCTGTTGCACCACCATTAGCTTCGCCATTTCACTTACACGTGCAGCGCAGTTTCAATGACGTGATCGACCGGTGTGGTCCACAACGAACGCATAACCTGACTCCGCCAGACTGCACCGTGCTCAGCAGTTCCGGGGCACCGCTGGTCGGGCGCCGGCCACTCACACTGCAACTGAGACGTCTGCAGGACGGCCAGGCGGCGGCGCTGCATGCGGCGAGGTTCGGCGCAGCGCACACCAGATGTCTCCACCGGCCGCTGCTGCAGGAACTCCACCAGCCAGGCCAGGTGGCAGTCGCACACGAACGGGTTACGGCCGAGGTGGCTGCGGAGTGGCCAGAGGCGGTCACGGCCGGCGTCACGAGCGCGGGGCGTCACGGAACCCGTCACGATATCAGTCACCTCTGTCAAGGTAGGCTGGCAGAGGTTTACGACGTACATAGGAGTACACGGGATCTTTAGACAGCACGGGAAGTCAGAACATACTGGCGGGGAGGGGTTGAGGGGCGCGGGCGGAGGCCGTTGTTTCGACCCCTAGCAAAATTTAACATTAGCCCCATGACACGGCGTAGATAAGGCAGGTTGAAACAGGCAGGTTAAGCCGTACTTGTCCTTCCGCCCGTTAGCCTGCAGAGGATTCTCCGTAATCGCTTAAGAGTATGCATCCAGGCTCAGTGATGCCTGTTCTGGGAACGAGTGCCGGTCACACGGTCCGTCATGGGCTGTAATGCCCCCAGGTGCTGCTCCTTGGTGTTCGGCTCTATGGATTACACTGCAGATCCTCAGCTGAAACTGGCGAGTGTTCGGACCCCCCCCCCCCCCCGCCTCACCCCAATGCTGATTATTTGCACACTCTATAAACATTGGGACCCACCGTTAGCACGCATGAGAGCGATCGTTTTGTGTGATAGTGACGCGAAACAATCAAACAATTTGCGCGATGCGTTTCGCTTAATACGACTGATGGGTGTCAACGTTGCGATAAGCAGTAGCATAATGACGTAAATGGAATATATAATAATCCACGTCACTACTAGCACGTGCCATGAAAGATTATAAGCACAGTAAAACGGTGTCTGTTCAAATCCTCAGCCCGTCGATTTGTTTTACGGACCGTCGCAGGCATGCTGAAAAGTATAAAACAGCTGTACTTTTAAAATAACATCTGCTGTACCACTCCGAAGCTTCTATGAAATTCCTTATTAAACGCTAGCGCTTTCGTACCGAACGCTTAATTACTAGGCGCAACAAGCTCGGAGGAATGCACGTAAGCGATAGATCACGAGACAAAAGGAAATTTCGAATATAGCGATGATAGTTCGAGGAAATGACATGCTGCTTGCCATTGAATAAGATTTGTCGCCGAGCCTTGAAATATGGGCCAAGCCTTAACGGACATGTGAAACACATAAAATACAAAGGACGCTGTATTGAAGTGCGCAAAGCACAATGCATTATTTTTGTCCCAGGGGCCATTTGCATCGAAAATCACTTATATCCCCATCGGTATTTGCAGTGTAGCGTTTATGTCCTCAGCGCCCACAGAAGGAAACAAAATGAACATCTCGAGTACCGTTTTGCATGGCACCCAAGACATGGAGCCTTTTAAGGCGCGCACAATGCGTCCGCGTGGGAGGAGTACGATATTCCGTTTGTGAAGAGCGACACCACATTCGTTTGAGAGCATGAGACTAATGTGGGAGACAAGACGGCCGTGGCGTTTCCAGGCCGCCCCGTCCATTGTACGACTTCCTTCAAATGGAGTGCTGATGGGCGTTACAACGCGTGCCTTACTCAGAACTCTCCCCTGTCGGACGGTTTGTCTCAGTTAATTTATGAACGGCTGGTAATAACTTCACGCTCGGTGCGCACCGCTCCGCTGTTATGTTTCCGAGACAGAAGCGCCGCAGGAGAAACACTCAGTCGCCGGCTTTAACAAAACCGACCTCCGATCCAGCAACAGGTAACGACCGATCCCCCAGTAGCTCGAATGAATGCGAGATATAATTAAGCGCCACGCACGCCCCAACAAATTTCACGGTTACCAACCCCCGCGTCAAAACGAGGCACAGCCGGTCCAGCAGGCCGAGCCAAATCACTTATGCTAAATACCTTCAGCCCATAACTCCGACCCGGGACAGAAGCCTGCGCCCAGAACAAACTACGGGCCAGAAAAACTGGCGGCGCCGCTTTTTCCGCGGCCCGAGCGTGTTCGAGCAGAGACGGGGCCAATTCCGACCGCAGCGGCCAAGCTAATAGCTTCACGGCACGCCAACATTCGATGAGCGCCGAGGCCGAGGGCCACCGGTCGGCCAGCTCGATAAGACGATTCCGGCGCTTTTTCACGGCCCCGTAAAAAGCAGAGCGCCGCCGGCTAGCCGTCCCAGCCGGCCGCCGCTCGTAAAGTCGTCTCCGGCCAGCCGGCCAGCCGGCCGGCGATCGCGTCCAAAGGCTGGCCGCCGGCGCCTCATGAATGACAAATATTCCGAGAACAACGCGGAACCGGACCGCAGCTATGCCGCGCGGCCGCGGCGGCGCTGATGAGGCGGGCAGAGGTGGCGATGGCGTCCGGCGCCCACGCGGCGGGGGCGGCGTTAGCATCCGTTCCCTCCCGTCGCGGAGTCGGTGACGACCCTCTCGCCATCCAGGCGGTGACGGCCCCTTACGTTGTAGAGGTGGTGGCAGCGCCCAGCACCTCCCGCCGGCGCAAGCTGTTTTTCTGACCGCGCGCCGACCCGACTTCGACGCCCCCGCGAGCGCACATAAACGTATCCGCGGGATGATCTGCGCGGCCGCCGTCACCACACGTAGGGAAACGGCCGGCCCGGCTCCATTCAGCGGGTCACGTCCTCCGGCTCAGCGCCGTCGTGGTGGCGGCGCCGCATTATGAGCGTGATAAAACGCCGCTAAGCCAGACAGATATGACGCTCGGCCTGACAGGTTTGGCGATCATTTTGTCGCCGCTGCCAAGATTCATGGGCGGCCGCGCGGACGTCGGAGGTCCGCCCGGAGGCTGGGCGGAGGTCCGCCCGGGCGCAGGACGGCGGCGCCCCCTCGCGATCGCTCAGGCGGGCCTCGCCACGCTGTTATGGAACGCGTCCGCCCCGCCACCGTCCGCAGATGACTCTCTGCCCCCGCGAGGGACAATGCGCGGGCTGGTGTGGCGGCTGTGGCGGTCTGAGCGCGGTCGACTCGCAGCCTAATTGGGTGACCCTCACTCGGCGCGGCCGGCCGACGAATTCGCCGCGGCTTCCCCGCGACCACTAACGACTTGATGGGCGATTCGTCTGACTGACTCGGACTGATTCGCCGCCGACCCTGGCGAGCTCTGCTTCTGGCGGTGACGCGCCACCTTGACTTCAGCAACACTAATTGATAGGTTATCGAGAGCGAGTTGGCTGCGCGCCGGCTATTTCAGGCGCGACGGAGACGGGCTGGCGCTCCGGAACGCACAGGATCAGTGGCGCAGTGGGTCCGTCTGACGACCTGTTAGGCTATCTACCGGAGCGTGTAATGGCCGCGGTCATTAGCGTCACAGACGTTCAAGCCGGGCGCCACGATAAGGCCAATGAAATACTCAGTGTATGAGATCTGAGCGCCGGACCTCTCTATCACGAGTCCGCCGGGCCGTCAGCGTGCCACTCGCCAACAGATGGGAGGTTGTCTGGTGACGCTCGCGCCCGTGAGACAAAACGGGAATGGACGCCGAGCAGCGGCGGAGGAGCCGTCGGCGCCTGACGGGCCCCAAGACGCGCTGTGCGACCTCTGATGAATCATTCACAGAAACACAGACACACGCACACAAAAGTGTTGAATATTCAGAGCGGAGACATGCATTACACATGGGGCAGGTGAGCCTGGCGTCAGCGTCCGCTGCCGTCGCCTGCGCCGCCGCTCGCCGCCGAACATGACGCGGCGACGAGCAGCGGCGCGGCGTCTGTCGCCGCCGGACGAGGGCGCGCCAATGAACCCGTCAGTCGCGCCACGGCCGTGCCACCGCGCCAGTGAGGGCTCCGGTCCACCTGCGGCTCAGGGCAGGTCCGGGCAGACGGATGGGGAGGAGACAGAGCGAGACGGACGGCGGAGAGCGAGACGGACGGCGGGAGGAGAGAAGGCAAGAGAGGCGAGAGCGCGCGGCGGCGGCGATAGAGACGATAGCGGTGACGTGGGCGGGGCGCTGACTCGGTAGCAATGCGGACGGGACAGGGGGCAGGCGATGGCCACACGGGAGGGATGCAGCCGCAAAAAGGGGACGAGACGCACTTCCTGCTCGTACTCACAGCGTCTGAATACCGAGCAGCGAGCTGAACGTGCTGTTGGGCAGGTTCCTGATCTTGTTGTCATACAGCGATCTGCAACGGAGACGGGAGGGGTGAGCCATCAGATCGCGCCGGCATGTCCATGACCGATGGCTTCCGGTCACTTTATGCACCGTCCGGCAGACAGGTGCGGCCCGGCGCCGCCACGGCGACAAATATGGCGCAGCTGAAGCATTGTCGGCAGACAACTCGCTGTCAGGGGAACCTGTCCGGGAGGGCGCCGCTTTGACACGCGCCGGGCGCCAGCCTTGCTTTTATGCTCCGGCAGCTTTTGATGGATGCGTGCTCGTCGAAACTGAAGAGGCGTGTTGGGGTGGGCTCACCGCTTCCGACATCAGAATCCTCTGGATTTGGGGACGCGGCATTTATCTCTGCTCGGTTCGGGGGCGGGGGGGGGGGGGGTCTTCTACCGATGCGGGTGATTCGGAGGAGATAGCAGGACTACTGCGTCCCATCGGTGACATATCGTACGGACTGATACACGTCGCACCACACATCACTTGAAGTACGATACAAAGTCAATGCAGCTGTTTATCAGGCAAGTGCGAACACCTGTGGAGTGCAGTCAGTAGTCTAGTGCCACGTAAAACCACAGGTGCGAGTAGCTTGCTACGGCGAAGATACCTATGGCCTTACATGTTAAGAGCTAAAAAATGTAGGTGGGCTAAGGAGTGTAAAAATTTTGCGTCGACAAAACCGTGTAAACCTGCAATTACAACACGTGAAAACGACATCTAGACCTTTGGGTTGCGTGTTTTCCTACGTTTCATTCTCTGATTCTCGTCAGACACCATCTAATTCTTACCCCAAATGTATTTGGGATCGCAATCGGAATGAGGCGATGCATCACGAAATGCGTAGGGTCACGCAGCTCTATTGTTCAACACAAACGATTCATTACAGTGGAAATGCCATTCTGATATATCATTATCATTTACAGTCTGTTATATAACTTTACCGGGCAGGGTCTGCGAAAAATGTCGTTTAAACAACTGTAACTCATGCGATGTCGTGCTGTCGTCTCGCCGTGAGGTGGCAGGGCCAGCGGTTCCCCCCCCCCCACCTCTGCCCCCCTCGGCGGTGATCAGACCGATCGGGTTGGCTGGATAACCAGCGAGGGCCGCGGGCCGGCTCGTCTCCGGTGTAGCGGCCGGCACCGAGCGCCACGCCCGGGGCTCCACTTACCGCCGCCCATCTACATAGAATTTCAATAACGCTCGCGTACTCGGACTTTGTAATGAAGATGTTATAGAGCGACGTGACGAAAGAAAATCGATAGATCACGGCATGATCGGCCGCTGATGGCCGGCCTGCTGACCGGCCGTAATCGCGCGCCGCGCGACGGGCGCCGGCCTCGCCCTCTATCCGCACCATCAGCCGGCATAAAACAGCTCGTGCCTGCCCGGTGAGCGGCCGCCCCGCCACCGGGGTCCGGTTCGCATGGCGCCGCGCAGACAGCATGCATTTATGCATGTAATGGACCGGCGATGAGGGGTACAAATGGCCTGAGGTCGGGCAGGCGGGCCGCGGATCAGATCGGCGGCCCGGCCACCCGCCGGCCGCCGCCGCCGCTCGCCGTGTGGTGACGGTGACGGTGGCCCCGTCACGGTCCGTACGGTCCGGCCCCGGCCCGGCGGCGGTACCGGCCGGCACCGCTGGGCGGAGGGGCGAGGCCAACATTGGCACTGACACATCAGACAAAACTGTGATGGCGCCGGGAACGGCAGCGGCTTTATCTGACGCGGGTGACACATCGATAGAAGCACTCTGATTGGCTGATAACTGCCTCATCCTGGTAGTACTTGCTTCTGGATAGAGATACGGCAGACAAATATCATAAATTAATTGCGAAGCAATCCACCAAATGCATCCCATGTCGCAAATAATTTCAGACATAGAAGCACACACCTTTCTATCACCCAGCGAGCACAATTGGCAGCGCATAGTGTTGCGACGTACGTGGCTTAGGTTGGCTAGCTCATGGCGACAACGAAACAGACGCTTTCATATTTGGAGTGTGACCCTTGCGTCGATTGGATTCTTAAGACACGATCAGTCAAAGCTGAAAATAATGGACCGCGCTTAAGTGGTTCGTTCAACAACTGCGCCCATCGACCGCTCACCGCGGACGGCGACCGCGGCCGTCCGCGCGTTATATTTTCTCGAAAGCTTAACACACAACCCGGTGCATTTCAGCTGTAATGAATGGGCCGCCTCAGGCCTACAGGACCATGATGGCTGCCAGTGTCACACGGCCGTGTACAAGGTCGCTACAGCAGACATAAAGAACGCTGGAACATTGGAGATGGGCTGCACAACACGGGACGAGTGAAGAGAGCGCGGTAAGCGCGGTCGAAACGTGTCAGTGTCACGTTTTGATCTGGGGAGCAAAATCTGCTCCTCAAGTGAGCTGTCAAAGCCATAGCGGTATTTTCCGGTTCCACGCTCAGGCGGACCGACGTAAAAACGTCTGAACAAACCGTGATCTGGACGGGAACGCCGCATCACTCAAACTCAACTCAAGCTCAACTCAACCGAACTCAAAGTGTGACAACACCCCGCGGCGGTCCGAGCGAGACCCGACGACCGGCCGGCGGCCGAGCCCAGTGACCGAGCTTACTCACAGCAGCTTGAGTCCGCCCAGGTGTCGGAACGCGTCGGCGCCGACGCACTGGATCTGGTTGGCGTTCAGCAGCCTGCGACGGAACGGCGGCGTCAGGACTGTCAGAAGGGCGCCGAAACACGGCCCACTCAACGCGAGCGGAGCGCCGAGAGGCCGACCGGAAGGGAAGTGGCGGTGGTGCGCTGCGAGGGAGAGCTCGTCTGGCCACACTGTCTCGGGGAGATCTAGACTCGGCAAGGACGTCTCACGGGGGGGGGGGGGGGGCGACTCGTGGGCGGTGCGAAGTTCGGCGACAGGGTGATATTGCTCGTGATAGCGCGTCGTGACAAGGTACTTACAAAAGTTGTAGAGACGACAAGCCACTGAACAACTGGTTGGGCAGCTGCTCGATCTTGTTATTGTATAAAATCCTGTTTGGGGTGACAAAAAGTCGATTAGGTGTCAGAAAAGTGGCCGACCACCATGTGAAGAAAGATCGGTACGAAGTGCATAGATATGCGATACCAAACGGCAAATCCTGATGATAAATCCGACAATACAGACCTTTGTTACTCACAGCCAGTCATCACAAATCGTGGGGCGCATCGTGGCTAATCAGTTTTTGTGTTTCCGCTCGTTCACTCTATGAATACCAGCCGCATCCGGGGGGCAGTAAAGGGGATTTATTGACGTGTGCAACGGCCGGCCACTTACAGCGATTTGAGGTTGGTGAGCCCGGCGAATGCGTCACGCGCCACGGCCTTGATCTCGTTGTTGCTGATGTCTCTGGAAGAGAGCCAGTGCCAAGTGATCACGCCGGCTAGCCACGGCAACCGTCTCTCAGTGGCAGATGCGGACAGGGCTCACGCCCACGAGATCCCCCGTGACAAGCTCTCGCGCGCAACAAATGGAATCCAGATCGCGGGCAACAGCAGGCTCAGCGGCGCCGGCCGCGCGGACCGGGCGGGCGCGGCATTCAATTAGCCGGTAACGAAGTAAAATTACGGTCCAGTTGTCAGTGCATACAAATCAGCCGTCCCGATGAAGACACATGGGCTGAATAATCGTCCGCGCCCGGCCCAGCCAGATTGGTCAATAATAAAGTGATTTGTGCTCCGAGTCACTCGAGCGGCATAGCGCTTTGCCCCACCGTCGAATGTCTCTATCGAGATCGCCCTTCGCCTTTGTGTCCCAGCAATAAAACCGGTTAATGACTAGCTTATGGTTACATCCTCATTGTCAACCCCTCGAACACGCTTTTTCGTGTCCCGTTCTGATAGTCAGAGCCTTGGAACAAGAAAAATCACGACTGTCGTCACGTGACAGACGGCCGAAGACACCTTTCTGACGGAGCGTCACACGTAGACAAGATTGCATTAGCCCTAACCACACCCGTGTCATGTTCAGCCCAGTGAAAAGTACACAAGGTTGGCCCAGTCCGCAAACGCGATCTTTTTTGTTATGAGTAAGGGGCGTGCGTGCCGCCCGCTGCTAGGAGGAGCTCCACCAGTCCGGGAGGTCACTAGCGCCGACGGGTCGAGGTCAACGGGTCGCCGCCCCTGATACACCCCTGCACCCCGCTCCCTAATTGGCGGTGTGTTTGCTCAGCAAACGAGCGGCGGCCGCCCCGCCGCCGCGGCCTCGCAGGCCGACCGGGCGCCCCGGAGTGGGTGCTGCCGGCGGCGGCCGGCGCGCGGCCCCACCGGGGTGTGTGCGCCGCCCGCACGTGCCTGAAGGGCCGCGCGGACGCCGTGACCAGCGCTCTGCGGCCGGCGGGCGGCGCGAGACTAACCGCCTGATACCATCACCCAGTCAGCCGCCCGAACTCCCCGACAACGGGTCACCGCCGACGGCTGGCGGCCACGACGCCCCCTGTTGCGTGACGGCGAAGCCTGGCGTGCATAAAGGGGCCGACACTCACATTTTATTCAGGTTCCGGTAGTGCTTGAAGGCGGCCGCCGGGATCTCTGTGATCTTGTTCTGCTCCAATCTCCTGCGAGGCGACAGACAGCCACGATTAGTCCCAATCGCCGCCGAGTGACGGCCGTCAGTCGTCGGCCCCCTGATTGGCTGTCGGCAGTGGCGGCCGGTCGTCACGCCCCCCCCCCCCCCCCCCGCCGCCGCCACCGCCGCCGCCGCCGCCGCCGCTCGGCGCCGGCGCAACCACACTGCCGCGCCGCCGCCTATTCATAGCGCGGGCGGCGATTGTAGCGCGCGTGTTGCAGCGGCGCGGCGCCGTTCGACCGCGCCGCTCCACAGGGAACGTGCCCCGACGGAGCGGTGCTCGCGGGCGTCGGCCCCCGCCACCGCCGGGACGTGCGGCGGCTCCCACGGCCGCCACCCGTCCCTCTGATTATTCGAAAACGGGCCGCCGACATGTGGGGTCAACAGAGCGTCAGCGGCGACGACAGACGATCGCGACGCAGCTGAGACGGCCGCAGCGCAACGGGCTGCAGACTCGCTCTGCCCGCTGGGCGGCCGCTCTGCCCGCCGCGGCGCTCTGCCCACCGGCCGATCACCTCGTGCGGCTAGAGCGACAGAGGGTGCGGTGCAGCGCTGACCACGCACGCGCCCGTGGCGCGACGCAGCGGCGCGGCGGCGCGGCGGCGCCGGCCGGCGTTCAGAGGCCGCCGCTGCAGCGCCGCCCGCGTCCGCTCGCAATAGATCATATCCGGCGTTCCGCTGGAATCCGGCGCGCGATGACGCGGCAGCTGATCGGCCGGCGGATGGTGGGCCCGCCGACGGAGACCGACCGTGCCTCGCCGCGGAGGAGCGAGCGCAGTCGGCCTGCCCGGCACCGACGGGCGGCCAGCCAGCCCGGACGGTGGGCGGACGGCAGACGCGTGGGCGATACCAGCGGCTTCAGAAGGCCGCGGCTAGAGCTAGACACGCCCGCCAAACACTTACAATCCTAAGACAAATTGAGAGGAAAAAAGCGAACACCTCTACACGTGCTTCAGCCAAGTAATATCACACGACAAAAACTGCAATAAACATCTTTTTGTTTTGGGATTTTCGCGTGCAGTATTAACGGTGGCAGAGAACGGTCCCTTCCCAGCCGCACGCGTTAGCGAGGATGCTTGCGAGGCTGCCAGCGAGGCCGCCGGCGCAGCTCGGCGGTCGGCGGCCAGCGTTCGGTGCGCGTCTCGGCAACGCAAGGCCCGGCCCTCTCACGCGTCACCTGACGAGGTGCGACGTATCGGTCGCGTATCGGGCATAAATTAGCTGCAGCCAGAGCGTGGCTAACGCGTGGCCCAGATCGCGCCGGTCCAGCCGCGGCCGCCGCCGGTGAGAGCCGAGGGGAGCGGGTCACGTCTGTCTTCCGCGGACGGGAGGGCGGTGACGCCATCTCTGGTACGCGTGACGATCGACACGACTGACAGCCGCCGAAACCGGGACGCGCTTGTGGTTCGTGGTGGTGCTGGAATTTGCAGGGGAAAATTGCAGTCAATGATATGTACTTAACGTCCGGTTTATGTCACAAAAGCGCAGCGTGGGGCGGTATGTAGCGGTGTGGGGCTCATCCACACCCGATAAAAGCGCTATACGGCGTGGTATGTGATGATATCGCGCCTAGACAAAAAAGTAAGTATATATCATTACTGTACATCACGTATTACAAGGAGCTGCAACAGGTACGTGGCTGTAAATAAAAAGCAGCCTTTGCAGCCCTCTGCGGACTAGAGGCGCGACTGCGGCGGGGCCTCAGGTTAAAAGGAATGTTTCATATTTGAAAATATTGAAACAGGCATCAGATGCGATGAAAAAGCTCACTTATAACTATTGGTATACCTTTATGTGGAAAAGATTGCTTAAGAAAACACAATTTATTTATTTAGCGGCTTTGCTCCTCCATCGGCCATTGTCTGATTACGTCATCGTACCTGGCTTAACATTGATTGAGAGCCAATTGACGGCTGTTATATCTGGAAATCGTGCTCACGAACGCCAAATATGAGCGACTCGACAGCTGAATTTTTATTGACCGTGATCGCTGCACGGCTAATGAAATGACAGTATTTGAATGACGTTATAATGTCGTCATGTATGTCTGGGTGACATTGAAATAGTCTCCATAAAATTTAGGTCTTGGGAAGGGCAGGGCTGTAAACTACGCCGAATGATCTTCAAGATTACTATTTCAGCTCAAAACCCCACACAAATTTGGACCACTCCCTTCAAAGAACCACGCGCTCTGACGCTCTCGCTAGTCAAACGCCCAGCAACGACCAGCCCGACCCAGCACCTAACGGTCCCGCCCAACGCCAGCCCACGTGCGTTTGCACGTAACGTGTAATTCCAGCCGGGCTTGACCGGGCGTGACATCCTCTGCGGCGCGCCGGAGCCGTGGGCCACGCCGTCACCTCCGCTGGATGCCCGTACGGATCGCGACGTAAGCGATCGGACGCGGCGGGCGCCTCCGTCAGGCAGCAATGCATTATGCATGCATGGGAATCTAACCCTGAGAGTGGGCCGGCGCCATCCGAGGGGCCTTCATTTGTTCAAGCCCGCACGTCTGTCTGTCGCCGCGCGCCGGCAGATCGTGGCCGTCAATGATACGGCTCTTGATCAGATTGGATTCCTGGGATCCGGCTAGTCAGGTGGTCGTGAATTATGCACCGCCGTCCCGAATTCAAGGCTGCCTGGGATAACGAGATCACCGATGCATCAGCGATCGACGGAGCGTTACACGGCGCCCCTGCATTGGCCGAGACCAGCGACGGGTCAGGCCTAGAGCCAACGGTCCAGCTCTTGACAGGCGACAGGCGGAATATTTGCCTCCTCATCGCCGGTTGCTCGGCGATATTTCACGCCGCTGTCAGCCTGCCAGCGGCTCCCGACACCCCGGCCGCCGCCGTCACGATATATCCCGACGTGTCCACGGTTTGATTTCACCGCGCGTTCCTCCGCCGGCGTCGGGCCGCGACTCCCACGGGCCGCGGCGCGCTCCGCGTCGAGCACACCCGGTCACCGTCGCAAGACGGGTCGCCCAGACCGCACACGCGCCGGCCTGCCGTGCCGCCACCCGAGAGGAGGGGCGAGAGCGGACACGGGCGCGGACGTCGCGGGGAGCAGAACGGAGCCCGCGGGCGGGGACGTGCGGTGACAGGATGGTCACGGCGCGGGGCTCAGTCCGTGCCATCCGAGTTGGTGCAGACTGAGGACGAGGGTGTTGTCAGGTACAAACGTGAGAACCACTACCGCGACATATGTCGGGAAGACAGCGGGGCACGACTCCGTTACCCGTTGTACCGGGAAGAAAACCACTGGTGAATAAACGGGGAAGATGGACAAGGTAAGACAGCAAAACACACACGAGGACGTGACCAACCAGGATACACATGTATACAACAGGACAGCACATGTGGTGCAGCGCAGACGCTGCCAGGCGCGCCTGCGGCCGACTCACAGCTCCTCGGTGCCGAGCGGCAGCGCCTCGGGCACGGCGCCCAGGCCGCGGTCCCGGCAGTCGACCACGCGGTCGGAGCACTTGCAGAGCGGCGGACACCGCGACCGGGACGAACAGCGGCCGCCGGGCGTGTGCTCCAGACCTGGCGGACAGGACGGCACCTTACAGTCGGAGGACGGCACCTTAAAGGCTGGCGGACAGGACGGCACCTTACAGTCGGCTGGCGGACAGGACGGCACCTTACAGTCGGCTGGCGGACTGTGCGGAACCTTACAGTCGACTGACGAACAGAACGGCGCCTTACAGTCGGCTGGCGGACAGGACGGCACCTTACAGTCCGCAGACGGACAGGACGGGACCTTACAGTCGGCTGACGAACAGAACGGGACCTTACAGTCGGCAGACGGGCAGCACGGAGCCTTACAGTCGACTGATGGACGGAGCATAACAAAGCAGAGAGCGTCCTGTGCGCAGCCAGGGTTTTCCTTTCTCATCATTAAGGACTCCCGAAAGACAGTTGAAAATCGTCGTGATGCACAATCGCTGAACTCTGGGCCCCTGCCATACAAAAATCCCAGCTGCGCCTCTCCACAGCGTAGTGTGACCAGAATGAAAGGAGCGTTACGTTCGTTTATGTTCACGTTACCAAGATCTATGTGCAGCTGGGCTATTACAACCTCCCGCAGGTACAGTAAGATAAAGAGCAGCAAAGTGCTGAGGACATTGACTAGCACCCGATGCAACACCGCGACTTTGATCTTGCGTGATAAGTTTTACCTACAATGTACATGAACGCACACAGACGCCCGCAATCCAGGCAAAACATGCTGCGCTGTAAATCAAAACCAGATCGTGCCTACTGTCAGCAGGAGCAGAACACTCCGTCCCAGCTCACACCAAACATCGGTGTCCAAGAACATGAAATCCGCGATGAGATTCCAGAAACTGTTGTGTACGTTTCGGGCCCCTCCAATGACTGTAGACTAGGCTAGACGATCTTTTGTTTCTATCAGCGGGCGTGCGCTGCGCTCTGGAAAAGCAGTAGTGTCTGAAGGTGGGAATACCCTGCGCACACCCCATCTGTACAGCCGCGTCCGCCCTCGTATCTGTTGAGAACCTCGTCACGAAGCCCAGGCTAGTGATAGCCGTCAGCGATAAAAAAATCCTGTACCTCATAAAAACCTAAAACACACTCATGAACCATTTATAACCCTTGTCATTGGGATTTATACATTGTCCAAAAATGGCTAAGGTCTTGCTTGGGTAATTCATTTGAGCGACAGGACACCGATTCAATCAGCTTACGATGCGCGACCGACCGCATCGCCGCCTGTGAAAAATGATGCACGGCTCGAGGGCCTGCCAGCATTACCAGCATTTTTACGGTTGATATGTGCTCAATCAGAACGTGACCGGATTTAAACGATCAGTTGACAGCCGTCTAAGCCACCCAAGCTTGAAAATCCGTCATCTAGCGTGTGCGCTAAGAACACGCTGGCAACAAAAACAGTGATTCTCGTTAGTCAGCACACATGAATGCGACAACGTTGCATGAACTCCCAGCTCCCAGCAGCTTCAACAAATTTTCGATATGAACCGACGGAAGTGAACAAAACACCCGGCTTAATCGCTGCGAGAGCCGTATTCACCAGGAACCGGGCATGCATTTCGAAGCCGATTCCGCCTTTCTAGTGCACTATTTACGAGGCCCTCTCCTGAAAGTGGGGTGCAATTTTGAGCACGAGCTCACGTGCCGATGATGAGCAAACTGAATTAGCATAATGCCAGGCGATAATAGAGGATTATTGCGTGTTCCTCATTACGGTGTACATGACCATCTGCAGTAAACGGGCGCTCTCTGAAAGACGCTGCACAATGGGTGAGTTCGGACGGCCTCAGCGGCTGCAGGTAGGACCAGCCTCTGACGTCACACGGCCGCGGGGAGAGGTCACCGCCCACCGCGTGTCCGAGCGGCCGGGTCAGCGGCGGCCGGCGCCGGCGCCGGCGCGGACGTAGCACGCTCGCCCGCCACCAGAGCGAGGGGAGGAGAGGGAAAGAGGAGAGAGCGGGGAGGAGAGCTGTGGTGCGTCGCGAGACACTGCCAAGGATCCCGCGAGTTTTACAGCCGGGACGATGTTTGTCGTTTGGAGGATGGAAGCGTGGCCGTGCGACACAGCATCTGGGACGTCTATCTGTTCATCCGGACGAAAACAGCCCGGAAGACAAGAGGCGGGCCGCATTGTCTTCACGCCACCTAGGTGGTCTGCGCGAGCCGCGCACGCGATCTCAACAGGCGGCGGCTGTGGAGAGATCTCTGCTGCAGCAGCGCCGCTGCCGTGTTCGCCGTCGGCTGACGCGGCGTTCCGTGAGCCGAGCGGCGCGAATGAGGGCCGGGCCGGGCCGGCCGGCGGCACCGCTCCCACGACCGATCAGACCGAGACGGGCCCAGCGGACCGGAGTAAGCCTCCTTGCCCGAGGCTCGGCGCCGCTGCGGCTCTCAGCTGGATCGGCTCCCGCGTCAGATGAGGAGCACGGCGCGCGGGGCCCGCCGGATCGGGCCCCAGCGGTCCCAGCGGTCCCAGCGGTCCCAGCGGGCCCAGACTCCGTCGCCTGGACTCACCGGAACACTTGAACTCGGCGTCACGCACATCCGAGAGCCGGCGGTCCTTGAGGCGCAGCGGCGAACTGCAGACGGCGTGGCCCTGGCCCTTGCTGCGGTACCAGCGGCCCAGCCACGTGAGATGACAGTCGCAGATGAGCCGGTTGTCAGCCAGCTCCACCGACAGCAGGTTCCGCAGCGCCTCAAACACGCCGTCCGGCAGTGACGTCAGCAGGTTGCCGTTCAGCGTCCTGCAAACACACGCAGACTGGTTATGTGCGTCTATTGGAGACCTTGCAAAGTGGGCAAAAAGCGTAAACCTGCAAGGGAGCTTACGCTGCGCCGACAGACCAGATTACGGTGCGCGTCCGGCCGGGTGCGGCGCTCCATTTGCACATCTGCTTCAGTCGGCCATCGCCGCGGCGCCGCCGCGGTGCGCGAGCGCTGTGCGGCACGGGCCGCCGTGCGCGGGCCGGCGGCGTCCGCCGGCTGCGCGGCTCGCTGCGCGGGGCGGGTTCCATGCACGCCCTGCCGCGCCCGCTGACATCGACGAGCTGACAGAGCGCCTATCGGCCGATAACGGGCCGGTGCCGCGACAGCTGGCGACAGCTCGCGCCAGTTTTTCGCCGGGACGGCACCGGCGGCCGGCACGACAGCGGCGGCGGCGGCGCGGCCGCGGGGAGTCCGCCGCCCGCCGCCCGGGTCGGGCGCGGGTCAAGCGGCCACGCTTCCTGGCCGGCCACGCGCGCGCTCCGGCCGCCGCGGCCCGCCCGCCGGCGGAAGTGTCCGCCACGGTAACGCGCGCACTAAGACAAACAGGAGTAATGCGATGCCGGCGCGATTAGATGTGATCTAAAGTGCCGGCCGGCCGCAGTGGACGGCCGCCGGCAGTGAATCATGGCGCGCCGCGCGCCGCGTCAGGCGACCCGTGTGTTTTGCTGTGACGTCTCCGGCGCGGCCCGGCTGGCCGCGAGAGCGGTCGGCGGGGTTGGAATGTGCCGCGGTGGTGGCAGCGGCCCTCGGCTCCCGCGGAGCCGGCCCCGTCATAGCTCCGGCCGGTGACGCTCTGTCAGCGAGCCGCTCGTAAAGCGCCGCGTCTCGCGCGCCGCCACCGCCGCCGCCGCCGCCAGCTGACAAAGGCTAATTGGCGGCGCGTCGCTTGCGCAAAGCGCGCCGACGCGCCGCGATTGGCGCGGTGGCGCGGCTGCAGGCGCCGCTGGCGGTCGGGCCGATCAGAGCGCCGCCGCCGCCGCTGACGGCCGCTGGGCCAACAGCTTCATCGCGCTGACGGGGCGACAAACAGGGCTGGACGGCGGCGGCGCGGCGGCCATCTGCCGGTCGCGGAGGCGCCCAGGCGGCCCCTCCAGGGATTGGCGACGTGGGAGATGGCCGCAGACGTGATTGCACAGGACGGCGAGGACTATCGGATTGCGATGAAGAAGGACCAGGCGATGAGATGACCGCGGCGAGGGGGGATGGAGAGGTCATGATGCATAAATCATGTTGCATTATTCCATATTATGCACGCTATGGTCCAGTAGTGGTTTGGTGAACAGTTGGGCCACGACGACAATTATACCAAACTTGGCATGCCACCACCGCTGGTGATGTCTGATTAGTGCTGTCCGTGCGACAAACGTGGAGAATCGGGCAAACGTAAATGGAGCGACAAGGCGGGCGTTTTCACGACAAACTGACAGCACATGGCGACAGGCACGGACAACAGACGTAAGCCTGTTAACAGGCCACAGACGAGATAAGCTAGACGGACGACCCGCCCACGAGAGAAAACATGTACTCGGCGACGAGATACAGCGCTGCCTGCCCCACCGCCGACCGCGACAGCGGCTCCGGCACCGGCGGCGACGAGTCGCTGTCACGGACACGGCAGGAGCCCCGCTCAGCCACCGCCGGATAACCGCGGAGGCGCGAGACGGACACGGCGAGACGCCGGGGAGAGGCAGCCAGGCAGCGCGGGCGGTACTCACAGCGTCTCCAGGTACTGCAGCCCGTGGAAGCTCTGCTGGTCCAGACAGCTGATCTCATTGCGGTCGAGGTGTCTGTCGAACAAAGATGCATGTGAGGCTGTTTCGTTGTGAGAGCTAATGCATAAACATCGTGCATAAGTAAAGAGATGCGACATGGAAGAAGCGTTTTATGGAGTGACGGCGAACAAGGAAGAGAGAGAGAAAGAGAGAGAGAGAGAGAGAGAGAGAGAGAGAGAGAGAGAGAGAGAGAGAGAGAGAGAGAGAGAGAGAGAGAGAGAGAGAGAGAGAGAGAGAGAGGCGCAGAGGTGGAGAGAGATCCGGAGGCAGAGATGAGGTTCTGTGGATCAACAGCGGGAAAGAACGGAACTATTTTTATAGCAGCGCGAATCTGCCGCCGAGCCGGTGATCAGCAATGAGAGCAGCGCCGCGGCCGGCGGCGGGGGCCGGTCTGTTTATGCGCGCCCGCGCGCGCGCCGCCGGCCTTCCCTCCGTCGTCGGCTAAACGAAAAACCGGACCGCGGCCGCGGCGCATCTGCATACTGTGAATGATAATGAGACGGACGGGGAGCGAGCTGGACGCGCCGCAATGGATTGCAGCCTGAACGCCGACACGGCGCCGGGCGGCCGCCCAGCCCGGCAAAAAGCGCTCCGGCTCCAGGCCAGGCCAGGGAGCGGCCGGTAAAACACGCCGACATGGCGGCACAGCGCCGCGCAGTTAATGTCGCCACCGCGCCATCGCTTCTCCGCGCCGGCAAGAACGCCAACGAAAAGGGGCGAGTCTCTGTCGCCCGGCGGACAGGGTGGCGATAAAACCCGCGAGAAGAACGTCCAGTCATAGGTGACGTGGCCTTCTGCAAAAGCTGTGCCTTGAAACAACCAGTCGAACTTGTCACGAAGACACGGAATAGCTGCCACACGGGTCACCGCCAGCGGTGGCGGGCGAGCCGGCCGGGAGTCCCACAGGAATCACAGGCGCCGAGTCCCATTGGGAATCACAGGCGGCCGGCCCGGCGCCGGAGCCGCCCAGCAGCCATGTTCTCGGGAGCGGCACGTCTGTGCTGCCGGCGGGCACGGCCGGTTAGCCTCTGACTGGCAGCCAGGCATGTGCGGCCGGGCGGCGCGGCGCCGACGGTATTTCGGACTCAGACAACGCCGCTTTGATCAGCCGTTTACAGACGTCACGGACGCCGAATCCAAACAGGTCGACACTGGCCGCTCACATAGCCCGCCGGTGGCTGGTCGGGCGGCGGCGGCGGCGGCGGCGGCGGACGCCACCTGCCGGCCTGCGGCGTTTGCTGCAGACGCAGCTCCACCTGAGGCCTGTGCAGCTGGGCGATCCTGTCTCGCTCTGGACTAACAGACTGCCAGACTGACAGGCAGACTGACAGACTCGTCAGCCGCCTCCAGACTTCACACGTCCGTTGGTCAGGTCGGCTCTCACTTAACCCCTGGTTGGGGAACCGCTACATTTGAAGCTGTTCTGGTGCGGATCTTATATCAAGCTGAGGCTGAGGATCAGGACCGCACCTCCACCTCCTGGCTCCCCTGGCCGGCACCCCGTCTCTCCCCGTCACTGGCACCGCCTGCCTGACGCGGCGCCCTCTCGGGCTCGCCGTCCGGGTGGCATTCTCACGCCGCGCCCTCCCGAGCCCGTCTCTCGGACGCCACGGCCCGACGCCGAGCCCTCTCGGGCACGCTGCGCAAGTGACATCCTCACGCGGCGCCCTCTCGAGCCCGTCTCTCGGACGCCACGGCCCGGCGCCGAGCCCTCTCGGGCACGCTGCGCAAGTGGCATCCTCACGCGGCGCCCTCTCGAACCCATCTCTCGGACGCTACGGCCCGATGCCGAGCCCTTTCAGGCATACTGCTCAAGTGGCATCCTCACGTGGCGCCCTCTCGAGCCCATCTCTCGGACGCCACGGCCCGACGCTGAGCGCTCTCGGGCCCGCCGCCCGGACGCCGCGACTGCCCCTGACGCGTCTAACGAGCCGGTAAACGCGGCCAGCCCGGCGGCCGCGCACCCACAGTATATTACAGGTGCCCCGGCCCGCGGGGCCCGGCCCGGCTCATTACCCGGGCCGCCGGGCCGTCAGCGTCAGCCACCACCTTGTTAGGGCATAGTTTCATAGCGGCCACTGGCTGATTAAATATTTGCACGGCTCCAAATGACCAGGAGACGGGCGGCGGCCGGCCGGCCCGGCGGGACGCCCGAGGAGACGCCCGCCCCAAGGATGCACGTGATGTTTATTGGGGGGATGACGGTGGGGATGAGGACCGCACGCCTATGCGGCGCAGGGGGGGGGGGGGGCAGGTTCGCCGCTGGCAGAGGCAAGTGCTGGTGCGGGGGAGGGAGCGGGAGTGATAGAGCTTTTATGCAGATGATAACGTGACACCTTTACACCCCATGCGCCTTCGTAAGGTGAGGTGAAGAGATGCAGTGTAGAATTGAAAAGCGATTTGGAAGCCGATTACTGCATTACCGTAACGTAACACGCGATGCTTCGCCCGGATTGCGGGTAGCTGTTTGCAAACGATGCGATAGAGAGGTGGGAAATGACGCGATAAAACCCGTGTTAAGAATATTAAACATAACACGTGTAATGCGATAAAGCATATTCGATTCCAAGATTTCGAAGCAGCGGGTTCACGTCATGTCTCCATTTAAAATGGCACTTGATTGATCGTGCTGCATTCAGGCAGATAGCCATCACGGCATTCTTATGGTTTGTGCAACAGCCGGTATGCGGACGGAGTATCGTCTATGGGCGTCATTTTTCGTGGTGCTGTCGAGACAATGCAATGCAGATGGAAGATGGCAGCATACGAAGGGCCCACTTATTCCGATGTTGCCAAAACAGAACCTTTACGACAGCTTGAGCCTACACCCAGATCCGGCGACAGGCTCGGTTCCATGGGCCCGCTCTCATGCAATATTCAGTCTCTCCGCGCTGTTTACAGTTGGAGCGGCTGCCGTCTGAGCGCGACGGACCGATTGATAGCAGATTGGCGGGCGCACCGATGGGTGAGCGATGCGATACACGGCCGCCATCGGCCGGCGATGGCTCAGCCGGCCGGGTCGGCTGCCCATCAGACCACATATCTAGCAGAGCCGGGTCCGCCCCGCGCCCGCCGGCGCCGCCCACTCACAACGTCCGCAGGCTGTGCAGGTGACCGAAAGCGAGTCGTCCCAGCACCGACAGCTTGTTGCCGCTCAGGTCCCTGGAACGGGGGACGGCCGGGCGTCAGAGAGGAGGGGGAGGGGGGGGGGGGGGCACCAGCCACACTGTGAACACTGCTGACGGGCAGTCCGCCAGAAACCAGAAGTACGGAGTTCGATTCCCCGCGGTGCCCGCCCTTCCTGCTAGGGTGAGGGGCAGGCGACGCCGTAAAGCCTCAGCAGCTGTGTGTGTGCCATTAAGCCCAGATGACAGCTACGAACAGTTCCCCATGCGGGGTCAGCGGGAGCCGGGGCAGCAGAGCCGCCGACCTACCGGACCTTCCGCGGTGGAGCAGGACGTGCCCCGCATGCCGGGCGGGCTCGCCTTGGAGCCACCCGCTGACGACAGGTCAGGAACGCCTCTCGGAGCCGGCCTGAGGCTATTTCAAAACCTGACAACGTGCTGACTAATACAGGCCAACTTCATGAATCTTACGATGGCTTCGTTGGTACGTTTTCGAATATCTCTTTGGTTAACTTGTGCAACTTGTGAGGCGAAGAAAATTACAAATTGATACAAGCGTGTGGGATGATTCACACAGAAACGAACAGAATTGAGCACACCGGAATTGAACTGAATTGCGCGCGGGGAGGTGTGAGCAGGGAACACGACAGTCACAACCCAGCGGGCTGTGTCACGTGACAATCCGGGATCCAGCCTCCGGTTCAGCCCGGCGAACCTCACCGCGTCCCCATCGGCAGCCTGTTAACGACGCAGCTACGCGCTCGCACCGCTCCGAGTGCACTCGCCCACCACTCTCCTCTGCCGGCGCGGCAGATCACAACAAAACGCGCCAGCAGGAAACGGAAGTTTTCCGAGCGCGTTAGTGGCGCTCTGTCGACAAACACCTGCCAGACCACGCCATTCATGTCTCCACGCGGCGTCCACCGGCGGCAACAGGCGGTGAAAGGCTGGCGGCGCCGCCGCTGCTGGGACGCCCGCTGATTTACAACCGGGCCAGCGCTGATCGATCGCCTGACTTGATTTCTCCGACTTTATTCATTCCAAACAAGCGCGGCGATTTATGAGCGGGCGGCCGCGAGCCGTGTCGTGGCCCTGCTGCAGCGGTCAGCGGTGGACCGGCCGGGCGCCGCGAGCGCGTGCTCCGAACGCGTGCTCCGAGCGCGTGCTCCGAGCGTGTATCTGTGCTCCGGCCGGCGCGGCGGGTAATCGGGTTCCACCTGTTTGCCGCCGGAAATAGTCTCGTTCCACGCAAGCGGCGTGACGTCCGGTCGGCGGGTGTTGTACCCACACACTATCTGGCGGCACGAGACCAAACACGGCGCGGTGTCGGGCCAGCGCGCACACAAACACGCACGCGACACGCACTTCTGGTCTGTTTGTTTGTTCCCGCTGTCGCCCAACCAAACTCGTTCATTAGCTTGGAGACATGGGGAGCTTAGTAAATCATCAATGTGTTGTGACATTAACGATCGCTCGCAGAGGTGGCTGACTTCTTCCGCTCAAATATCTCATGATGGTCGGAAGATGAACACCTTCGACTCTCTCTCTCTCTCTCTCTCTCTCTCTCTCTCTCCTCTCTTCTCTCTCTCTCTCTCTCTCTCTCTCTTTTCTCTCTCTCTAGCTCTCTCTCTCTCTCTCTTCTCTCTCTCTCCTCTCTCTCTCTCTCTCTCTCTTTCTCTTTCTCTCTCTCTTTCGACCTCCATCTTTGTTAGGACGTTCCCGTTAAAAGACCAGTACATGGGAATGTGCCCGCATAAAAGTAACAAATGCATTTAGTATTTCATGGTTTGTCCCCTTACATTTGTGTCTTCGGAAAACATAAGCCTCTATGGGAAAATATATTTTCCGAAAGTGATTGAACACTGCGCAAGCGGATGAATTGTCATAGCCCGGTGTGCACTGACCTTGCAAAGTTCGGCATCAAGTAAGTCGCTTTGTTGCTACCGGTGGCATGAAAAAGCCTCTATCTATCAACGTCTGGGTACCTCTGGACTCTGTCCCATCCGTGATCCTTCAGAGTGGCTGCCCCACCACGAGACTAGAAGCCTCTGCGGCTGGGGGCGCCGGCCGGGAGCCCGCTCCAGCACCCAGGCCGTCCACCTCGGCGGAGTCGCACTGCGACGGGCCGGTTGCATGCCTCACCCCGCCCGTGCGAACAGCTTAACAGGGCGGCCCACAATGCAGGGGGCCGGGCGGCGGCGACTGATCGAGTCGGGGCACGCCAGACGGTCGTTTGTCAAGCCTGGCCGCCAGAGCCGCGGCCGAGCCGGGGACTAGCGACCCGCCGAGCCAGCCACCGGCCCAGATTGGCCGCCGACCGCGCCGCTGCCGCCGCCGAGTGGACAATTGCCCGCCGCCGCTGAGCCTGCCGGCTCGCCAGTCCAGCCGCCGGCTTTTTACGGCGCCGGCCTGCTGTGAGCGGCCGCGGTTCGGTGCCGCTGCAGCGGCGACAATGCCGCCGGCGAAAAGGTCGCCGTGACGGGTAATTAGCCACTCGGCCGGCCGCCTGGGCATTGCCCCCCCCCCCCCCCGCCCCCTGCTACAGGTGGGTGGGAGCGCGGCCGAACGCGTCCTCCGCCTGACGGCGGGTGAAGGCTGCACGAGAGGCGGCGCTGTGGGCGCGCCACAGAGGGCGGCCACGCCGCGAGACGAGACGGGGGAAGACTCCCTGTACGTGCGGGCGTAGGACGCTGTCGAGCGAGCTCAGACTGAGGGGCACGTTCGACAGGCGGACGGGCGAGGGGAACAGACAGCCAAATGCCTGCACGAGCCAGCCACCATAACAATTAGCCGCGATCACCTTATCTCGCTGCTATTCAGTCAAATCTACAGCGTCTATGCTAATTACAAGGCAGCGAGGGCCCGGATAATTTGTTGAAGAAGAGGAATACGGGCGCGTAACGCTTTTTAATGAGCATGCCCCGAGGGAATGAAGCTGAAACCGACACTGCGCAGCACTAGAGATCATTCCTGAACCACCACCCCGCCAGGAACTGAATCAAATTAGTTCAAATCCCAGTTGTGCCTCTAATCAAGGCTGCAGACCGACGAAAAACAGGGCGAAACTTGGAGGTGTGTCAGCTCGCTCCACTCATTCTGGCGCAACGGGCTGCAGCGCCGCCCTCAGATAAGGAAGCGAAGCGTGGCCCAATAAAGAGGCACACGAGAGGCGCCCGCCGTCATACCGCGAGGAGCGAGTGCATAATTTTCTCGTATCGGACAGCTAACGATACGCCGCTAAGCTAAGAGGCCATATTGCAGCCAGGCCACACAATGAGCGTCCGGAAAATATGCACGGGTTTGCTGTCATGTGAGCCGGGGTGGGCTGTGGAGTCATGTACTTCATTTCAATCAGTGTCCAAACTGACAGACGGTCGTGTCTCTCCCGCCGTCCGAGCCCATCCCAACGAAACTGCAGATGACCCCCGCCGCAAAACTTCGTGACCTGCGTCCTCAGAGTCCCGCCGGTCTCTGGCCGATCAGGAGTCCCCGACGGCGCGGGCTCCATGTGTGCTGTCATGGCCGAGCCACCGCGCCGAGACCGGCGCCGGCGGCCGCGGGCGGGCGGCTCTGCCGGTATCAGGCTCCCTGGTGGGGTCAGTCGGCGGCGGACCACCAGCGCCGCGTGCCTCAGCCGGCGGACCCGCGGCCAGCAGGCGGCACGTGCTGCCGGCGAGTTACGGCGCCGGCGGTGCAGCCGCCGCGGCCGGACCCGACCACGCCGCCGCCGCCGCCGCCGCCGCCAGGCGTCGAGCGATCCGCCGCACGCTCCCTCCTCGCTGGCGGTTCATCTGGCCGTGGGCAGGCGGTTTCTCCGGTGCGCGAAGCGGCTCGTGGGCCGCGGCCCGCCGCGATGTTAATTGCCGGTCAGCGGGCCGGCCGCGGCCGCCGCCGGCCGAGCGTGGCGACCCCGCCCGGCTCGGTACGGGGGGTCGCCGCCGCTGACGGCCCGGGCCGCCCGCTCATCGTTTAAATCAATACATGGCACGCCGCTAATCAGCAGTGGGCGGCGGCGAAGACGGCGCGTCGGCGGCGCGGCTGTCGGCAACGCTGCAACAGGCCGGCCGGCCTTCCCAGCGCCGGAGTTGCAGGTGCAGGTCTTTGGCAGCGCTTTGCACGATAGCGCACGCAGATTGCCGCGGCTATTTCTCCCGCCAATCAAAGGCCTGTGAACGTCCTCAGATCTTCCAGCAGTGCCTCGCCGGCCCGCCCACCGGCGCGCCCTGCGGCGACGCGTGCTCGGCAGACAAGCTCCGTGGCAGCCGGCGCAGGCAGAGCCTCGTCCGACCCCTCCGCGAGGGCGCGCTACACGGCCGGGCCATCTCCACCGCGGCCGAGAGCGTGCCGGCCTGACGGCCGCCGCCGCCGGCCCGTCGCTCACGGCTGCAGCCGGCCGGCACGCGGCGGCGCCGGCAGGTGTCGACCTCAATATCGGCCGCGCGGGCACGAGCGCCGGCCGCACGACTCGTGAGGGGACCGCCGCCCGGCAGAACAGAGCTGGGCGGTGCCAGCAGCCGCTCCTCACAGCAGGGCCGGGGCGCACTAGCTCAGGCGAGGTTTCCGATCGAGCGTCAGGGCAGCGAAACGTGGCTTTTGCCGTCATCATGAGTAATTTGTATTGACAACCATTCGTGCACCATTACGCAGGACGGATTGGTGCCAACACCGCTCTCCGTCCAGGCGTTCCGACGCAGCACCTGGACCCGCACTTCGCCTCCAGCCGGCCCTGACATGATTGGGGTCACGTGTGACGTGGGCGCCGAGTTTTGTTACCGAGTTCTGAGGTCATCAGAGGAAGTATCCGCCCCCAGTGCCAGGGTCAGGTGAGAAGGAAGACCACGGCTGACCGATCCGGTGGCGGGCGGGTACAGCGTCACATCGCCGCCGCCACGCGGTCACGCGGTCCTCGTCATCGGAGGCGATCGGAGCCGCAGACGGTGTTTTCACCTAGCAGGTCGGGTCACATTACATAGCCTGTGGGGCTTCCCGCCGACCTCTCCGGCGACAGAGGGTAAAGGCCGGACCACTGAAGCGCCT